AGGGTCTTCACGAAGATCTGCATCCCACCTCTGAGACGCAGCACCAGGTGCAGGGTGGACTCCTTCTGGATGTTGTAGTCGGACAGGGTGCGCCCATCTTCCAGCTGCTTGCCGGCAAAGATCAACCTCTGCTGGTCTGGGGGGATGCCCTCCTTGTCTTGGATCTTCGCCTTGACATTCTCAATGGTGTCACTGGGCTCCACCTCCAGGGTGATGGTCTTGCCGGTCAGGGTCTTCACGAAGATCTGCATTGTCTGGTTACAAAAGGGCAACAACAAAAAGAATCAAGAATTTTAGCAGTGCTAATGGTAAAAGTTCAGTATCATTGTATACTTGTCCAAATAACTAAAAGGGGCCTTGTGGCACAAGTCTTTAATCCCAGTTAGTTGGGAAGCTATGGGAGGAAGAGGGCAAGTCGTAGGCCAACCTACCGGAAACTGACTCAAAATAAAGAATGACATGCAAATCCCAGCAGCTCGGGAGACCGAGACAGGAGAGTTGCAAGTTTCAAAGCCAGCCTCAGCAAAATCGAGGTGATAAGCAACTCGGTGCGACCCTGTCTCTAAATAAAATACAAAATAGGGCTGGGGCTCAGAGGTTGAGGGCCCTTGAGTCCAATCCCAGGTAGCCCCCTAAAAAATAAAGAATGAGAAGTCCTGGGGCTGGAGTTCGGTGGGAGAGCATCTTCAAATTCAATTCCCGTTACCAAAAACACTTTTTTTTTTAATGAAAAACTTGCCTTAGCAACATCAAGAAATACAGACAGCACTACTGATAAATTAGTCCAAAACCTTGGTTTGGAGCACTAAGGCAGCCTGGAAACCTTGACCAATTTAACCTCAGAGACCTCAAAAGCCTCACCACCCCCCCCTCCGGATGCCGGGTTCTGTCAATCCAGCAGGGTCTAACCTCGGCCCGAGCCCTGTGTCCTGCGACTGAGAAACACCGCCTACACCCACATGGGCAGGCGCCCCCACCCCGCATTATGAGCGTACAGACGGGGTGACGTCACCCGACCGCGACAGTGCGCAGCGCGCCCCAGGAGTAGGACTGGGGCGCGGCACCCCACCCCGGTCATCACCCCCGGAGCGGGCGGAAGACCAGCCCCTCCCGTCACTCGAGCCCCGAAACACTTCACGCCCRCCCGGGTGTTCTCCAAACCCGCAGCAGGGCCATCTGCCCCCACACCCCACCGCGGACAGGGCCCTCCCGCGCTTCCCTTCCGCCCCCTGTCCGCAGGCTCGAGCCCCAGTCTCACAGCCCCGCTCTGCGGCGTGGCTCCTCCCGGTTAAGGTTTCGCAGCGGCCGCCATTTTGCCGCTTGTCCCCTCGGGCCCGGCGGGGCGCCAAGCACCAARCCGCCGGCCCCGAGGCGGGCAGCGCGGCCCCGTCTCCCACGCGGCCTCACGGCCAGTAAGCCCCGAGCGCCGCGGCGTCAGCTCACCAGCGGCGGCAGCAAACAGTAGAGCAGCGACGGAACTCAAGGCCTCGACGGAACTCACTGCGCCCCGCCCGGCGCCGCCTTATATAGGCTGTGGCAACCGCCGCCCGGGGAGATCCCTCCGCAGAAACGCCGAGAAGGGACTACTTTCCTCCGCCCTTTCCGCCCTCCGGAAAGAAAACGACTAACCGGAACCACCGGATCCCCGTTCCTGGAACGTCCTCGGGCCGAGGCCGAGTCGCGGGGGGTCGCACGCGGCGGGGGGCGGGTGGCCGTTGTGAGGGCCCGGCGGAGGGATCAGCTCGGGCGCAGCGGTGCGGCGTCCCTGGCCGGGGGCGGGGCGGGTGGGGCGAAAGCCCGGCCTGGAGCCCGGGCCAGAGCGGAACGGAGCGGGCCGTCTGCCCCCGCGACCCGCTGGCCTTGGCTCCTGTCTGTTTTAGCTGCTCTGTGCCCGGTCCGCCACGTCCCCTCACCGTGGCCGCCCTCCGCGGGCCCAGCCCCCACTGTGGCATGGTGACAGGGCGCGTGACGCTGCAGTCTCCACGCAGGGCCTGGGTCAAGGACGAGCTGGCGTCCCCAGAGCTCCCACGAAGGAGCATGTCCAGCTGCCCTTGGAAGGGAGGGAAGTGAGCTGGACCTGAGGGCCGGAGGTCGGCCTCCGGGCTGTTCCTGGGCCTTCCTGTTTGTTCTCGGTGGCCCTGGACAGGAGAGGGTCGCCCTTGGTTGCCGACAAGGAGACTGCGGATTTGAGCTCCGTCTGCACTTGATGTACTCAGAAGGGGCTTAAGCCTGAGATGTCCTTTTATTTTTTACTTCAGCTGCAGGTGTCCCACATTGCGTTTCACCCCCGGCACCGAAATTAAGTCTATTAAACTGAGATGAAAAAAAAAATGTTTACGGATGTGTAAGTGACCCCGTGATGGTTGAACCCAGGGTGTTGTGTGATGGTCAAGTTAGGTTGGACCTGTCTGCTGGRCACTGACCACTCCTCTCCAGGGGAAGCGTTCAGATCCTTCCAGCTCTCTGAAATGTGAGGCACGAGGTTTTAAAACACAGGAATTGAGTCTCAGCTGTGCGTATTTCTGGGGAGGATTTTTACTATGTCAAAAACAAACTGTGACTCCACAGGAACATTCTATTTTGATAAAAGAGGAGGAGAGAGGGGGATTGCGAGCCCAGGTGGTTTCATTTTTACCACAACCTATACTGTGACTCCTGTGTGTCATTTCCCCAGCCACTGTTCCTTCTGGATTCTTCTGGAAATAGTCCCTGTTTCTACAAATGTAGGGGGAGGATAATGTTTTAATTTCTGCCAAGGGAAAAAAAAAAAAAGATACTGATGTTCTGCCTTTAAGAAAAGATGACATTCTTAAATAATGAAGGTCATTTCAACATTCTGCTTAAAATGGGGTAAATCAAACCAAACCTCCATATATTTTCTTCTTTTGTAGTAAAAATCATGCCCTACCTTTAATATGATATCACTTCACACATAAGACACGCAGGTGTCACTTCCTGTGTAGGACATTTACAGTCCAGCAGGCTTTCTGTTTTCCTGGCTTTGTCACAATTACTGTCAGGAAGCATTTTACTTGTTACATGTGGAATAAACCACACATTACTTCTTTTTTTTTTCTTTTTTTTTTCTGGGGGGGGGTGGCAGTGCTGGGGATAATACTTTACTATTTTTTGTTTGTTTAAACAGTTTATCTTTTAAAGAGACTGAAATAATTATAAATATATATTCATGGGTGTTAAGCTTCACCTTCTCATTTCTGGTGCTATTATCCACCGGATATTATTTTTCTTTTGCCTGAAGGACTTTTTTAAAAAAAAACATTTCTTGTGGGTAGTTTCTTTGGGTGATGAATTATTCCTGTGTGTGTGAGTGTGTGTGTTTGATTTTGGTGTCTTCATGTCCCTTCATTTGCCTGGTTGAGTCCTGGCCGGCTCTCTCTCTCACCTCCTTTCCCCCCTAAACTGTGACTGTGCCTTCCCAACTCTGCTGAATGCTTGGGGGAAACTCCTTATTTCCTCTGGTAACCTGTGTCTGATGTCTTTATGAAAATACAAGAACTGAGCATCGTTCAAAATGACTTTCACCTCTGAAATTTTCCATGGAGAATGAATTCACGGGTCACTGGCAAAATTTAAACGACGAATAAAAATAAAACATCATTTTCCAGGTTTAGTAGGAAGCCTCGGTGATTTCCAAGGTAGATTTCTGGGAAGGTAATTTCTGAATTTCAGCAGAAGTTTTTAAGGGAAGGAACAGCTGAGGTTTGGCCTGGTTTCAGCCACACCCTGCTTGCTTTGGGGCTGTGCTGTGCTTTGAGTCTTGTGATCCGTGTGTAATGGCTGAGTCATGAGCTTCGTGACATAGCTTTTCTGAGTCCAGAGGTTTGTACAGACACAAAACAGCTCTAATTTCAGAGGCAGGAGAGGAGAGGAGGAGGGATAAGAGGAGGTCCTGGTTGGGAGTGGGGAATGGGCCTGGGGTTAGCCCCAGCAGAAGCCAATGGTCCCTGAAGGAAGGGTCCCCTCTCTTCAGATCCATTGTGTGTTGGAAATGGGAGAAAATGGCCTCCCACTAGAAGCTGCTGTTCCTGGGAGTGGTTTGTCCGAGGACAGTTTGGTTTGTCACATGTGTAGGGAAGGGAGAGGAAGATGCTGGTGGTACTAGTGACATTTTTTTGTCCTTCTTTAGCAGACAGACCCCTCCAGAGGAAGGCGGTTGGACCGGGGTGGACTCTACCCTAGAGAGGGTGCTGTTGGTGGCGGGTCACAACTGCCTTTATATTTCTGAAAAATGACTCCCAGGGTCTAAATGTCCCACTTGGACCCAGGAGCCGGGTATCAAGTCACAATCCTAAAACCTAAAATGTCCTGACCTAGAATGTGACGTGCCAGAATGTGCCAGAAGCAGATGAGTCACAGGCTCTGCTTAGAGTTCGTTCCACCCACAGATGGATCCAGCCTTTGCAGGCGACCCAAGGAAGATGGCTTCAGAGCTGGCACCAATGGAAAGGGGACCAAGGCCCAGCAACAGGCCGGGATTGGCAGGCGGAAGGGGCACGTGATGGGCTGAGCTGTCGGCGCCAGGGTGTGGGGCTGCGGCAGGGTGGGGACACTCTAGCCCGCCTGCCTTTCTTCCGTCCCCTGAGAGAGCCAGCTCCTCTGAAGGTCATGCCTTGCTTGTGACCTGATTCGGCATCTGGACATTAGCTGGGAGTCCAAGGGCCAGCGAGCTCCTTTTCTCCCCAGAGACAGGGTGAACCAGGGAGCTGGAGGGCAGGCCATGCCTGCTGTGTCATGCCTTATATAACCATAAAAGGTCATCTGGAGCACCTGCGGCAGGCGGAGGCCTGGCCAACCCGGGGTGGAAACTCAAGGGCCTTTGCTCTCTTTCCTGTTGACACACCTGCTCTTGAATGGGCAGAACTTGAAAACAAGCAGTTGGTGTTGTCTCCATATTTGTCTGGGTTGGGAGAACTGGGAATGTATCCAAGCTGTTTGGCTTCGATTTTGTTTTTAAGTCATGAGAAATCACAACATCATATTGACTTCTTTTTTTTTTTTCTTTTTACCCCCTGGCAGTGCTGGGGATCGAGCCCTCAGATTTGGCATTCCATGTAAACACTCCCTGGCCACAGCCCAGCCCTAAAGTCTCCCTGTTCTAAATGCCCAGGTCAGTAGTGTTAAGTGCATTCACCCCGCCATCACCCTCCCCACTAACGTCTTCAGATCTTTTTATCCACAAAACTGAAACTCTGTCCCCATTAAACAGTTCCCCTGCCCCCTTCCTAGCCACTAGCACCTCCCCTTCTACTTCCGCCTCCGTGAGTTCATCTCCCCAGCCACCTCATGTGATGGGCTCTGTGTGTATTAAAATGTAATAATTGAAAAAAAATTTTCAAAGAATTCAGATCTAGGAAGCGCCAACACAAGCCTTTAGCAGCAGCAACTCCTTGTGGTATTTTTCCATATCCTGCACTATGGATTTAATTATAAGATACAGTGTGAAACACAAGCACATATAATTAGTTTCACGTTGGGACGGATCGCTTTAGAAATAACACTCTACCTTTTGTTCCCTCAAAACCTTGCTGGTACATAGGGAAGAAATGCGCTTTGTGCAAACTCATTAGAAACAGGTTCTGTCACCTGTACATCACCACCTAGACGGTGAGTCATTTCACAAATTTTAGTTTCCTTGTCTCAAAAACAAAAGGTTTGCAAAGACCAAGGTCCTTCCAGCTCTAAGATCAGATTTTTTTTTCCAACTCTCTAAAGCTGGAAGTCAAGTCAAAGGACAGGAGTTGACAGGTGTATTGTCATGGCTAGCTACAGAATGCCACAGGGTGCCTCCTCTTTATATGAATGATAAAACAGTGTATTGACGTCCAGGCGTGCGAGGAAGTGAAAGCTGCTCCCTCCTTACCCTCTCCTGCCCCCTGTTGCAGAGAGCAGAGCCCCAGGCTGGGCAGCAGCTGACCTGGGGCTGCTTCCTGAACAAACCGGGTCACTGAGGCACAGGGCCAGAGGCCCAGCCTTGAGTGACCTACATACATCTGCATGCAGTGTCCAGGAATGTCCGAAGTCCTCAATGCCAGGCGTAGAAACCTCCAAATGACTGTCCTGCTCACATTTGCTGTGCTGTCAATCATCAAATTAGGTTCTGCCTTGACATTTCCCTGCTAACTGCTCCCCTTCTTCAGCTCTAACAAGGAACATTTAAGACACCAGGGGCTTCACCCTGAAGAGTTTTAAAAGCTCAGTTGCAAGCGGTAAACCCAAGAGTTGTGGCTAGAAAAGAAGGAAGCAGAAACAAAAAAGTGGAGATGCCGGGGATCGAACCCGGGACCTCATACATGCAAAGCATGCGCTCTACCACTGAGCTACATCCCCCTCCCTCCGTGCKGGGCTTCCTGAAAATCTCTGCTACACTCCTTTCGTAAGGGTTTCCACGCCCTCCGGTTGAATCTTGTGCATACATTTAAATAGCTATTAGGGTTAGCAAAAGCCAACCAAAAAAATTCATTTCCTGTTTTTCAAATGGGCCTATTCTCCATAGCCTTGCAACAAAGACTCTAATTGCTACAGGAAATGGAAAATAAATCAGAAATTCCAGTAAAGGAGGACATTGGCCTGATGGTACCTCGGAATCTCCATTCCACCCTCAGTGAATTTGAGTCCGCACATCTGCTTGAAGGCTTTCTCCTCCCCACCCCCAAATTGTTCCGGATGTAAAAATGAGCAAATTAAAAAGAAACAGATTGAACCCCCAGAATCAGGGCTCAACTTTAGAAGAGGGGATCTCTGCAACATCCCACTAGGAGAGCCATCCTGAAATTGTGAAGGGGCACCCAGCCTCGGGGGCCTGTGGAGAGGGCCAGGGGGAAGAAGCCCAAAGGTTTAGTGTCTTCAAAGCCTTAAGGGGTTGTGAGTGGGAGACCTCCCCTGCCACCTGGTTGGCCATCGGCCCCCTCACCGCCGGATCTGCTCTGCTGCCCGAGCAGCTTGCCCTGCATTCCTGCCTCTCTGGCCCTCATCCGGGAAGCAGAGGTTTCCAGAGCCCCTACCTCACCAGGACTTGTGACAATTTGACAAGACAAAGCATCTAGAACAGTGTTCTCAGCGTCTAGGGGCAGACCCTGAAATGTGAGCTGTTGAAGCTACGGTGGAGTTTCCATGGGAACTGCAGGGAAACTGCAGGGTCTCACGTCTGCTACAGGTGTGAGCTGCCACATCGCTGATCCTGTCCTGGTGAGAGAGAGCAGCGGAAGAAAGGGAGGGTGTGGATGGGCCACTGCGGAAACCGTCCCTGTCCTCACTCCTCTAGCTCTATGGCGGCAGAGCAGAGGGGTGGCACCATGGGCCATGACCTTGAGAGACCGCTCAGCTCCCAGAGGCCCCTCTGCTTCCTCCCCACAAAGTGCATGGCAGCCAGAGCGCTCTGCTCAGAGCAGACCTGATTTTGTTTCCTCTCTGCACAAAAGCCTGACAAGATCAAGTCCCGACTCCGCAAGGCCCTAGCGGAGTGGACTTCCCTGATTCATCGCCTGCTCCTCTTCCTCTCCACGTGTTCTGTCCTTAGTTGGGCCACCTCCTTCCCACCTCAGGGCCTAGGCACTTACTGCTCTCAGCCTGGACAGCTGTCCCTCAGCTCTTGCCCCAGCTGGCTCGATCTAGATGTCCAGCTCCTTGCTCACACGTCCCCTCCTCAGCGGGGCCTTCCCAAGCATCTCCTACTGACCTACCTGTCTCACCACTCCCTGTCACACACCCTCCTTGTTTTCTTATAGCATTTATCCATTTTAATAGTAAGGGCAGGGCCGGGTCTGGCTTGTGTCCTGCAGCAGCCCTGGTGCCTAGGATGGGGCCTGGCACATAAAAGGTGCTCAGTAGGGTTTGTGGAATGAATGTGGGAAAGTTTGGGATAAAGGTAGAAATGAACCACAGAATAGGAGCCTGGGAAGGTAAAGGGCTAAGAAAGCTATTTCAGATCTCCCCTGTCCCTGTGTCCGCCCTGACCTTCGCACTCCCTTGATGGAACTTCTAAAGAACGTTCCCTTCTCCGTGGGTTTGGCTCACTCCCTAGAGTGAGAGCTGTAAACTCTTGCTCAGTCCCTTTGGGATCTGCTAGTCCTGGGGGGGACGATGGAGTGTGCTTGAGGGAGTCACAAGTTCACGGAGGTAGTGAGACTGGGGCTTTCCGGGTCTAACTTGTATCTAAGGTGCCCCACTTGGAATGAGACCTGGGAGTCTCAGGGTGGAGAGGAGGGGGACTTCCCAGCCGGGACACTGAAAAGTAGCCCCAGTGACACCATCAGGTGTTGGTGTGTCCCCGGAACTGGCAAGGCAATCTCTCCTCTTTCTGTCTCAACTATGGCTTTGGCTCCCATATTATGACGAAAATAAATGGCATCTTGTAAAGAGTTTGTTTATTGCCTGTGGGGTGCAGCAGCTGCACACCGGTGATGCTTTAAGGTCACAGAGTCTGACTGCTTTAGGGGGAGAAAATATCTCAAGTTCATAAGCATCTTCCAAAGTCAGATGCTGGGGCTGGAGCAAGACAAGAAATGTCAGCCCGGCAAGTCCAGTTGTCCATCTCACAAACCGAGGACCTTTTTCTGGCCTATTCCCTGCAAGGATGCAGGACCAGCTTTCCAGCACAGCTGGACTATGGTCTTTCTTGCAGTCCTGTGACCAAGCTCTCAGGAAGTTGCATGTAACAGGGTCTAAAGCAGCAGGTCAGTCACCGAGACTGCCAAGGTCTGGATGAAAAAGACGTCGTTCCACCATCAAAATGTTGCAGCCTCCCCGTCGGGGAATCGAACCCCGGTCTCCCGCGTGACAGGCGGGGATACTCACCACTATACTAACGAGGACGAGCTCTGCCAAGTCTTCCCTGGAACTCTTCTTTAAGGTAACTTGTCTCCCCTGCCCCTTCCCGTCCATTCCAGGGGGTTAAACCTTTTTATTTTCTTGCAAAATAAGTCGGATTTGGCTAAATGGCATTTTAAGGTGGCCGTTTTTTGCTCGGATCTTGTCAGCCTGGAGAATTTAAAACGCAGAAATTAAAAAAAAAAAAAAAAAAAAAAACAGAAAGCAAAAAATTAACGAGCAGACAAACGCATGCCAGGGATGAATAGGCGCTTAAGAGATAAACCAGGGAAACCTTGGTCCTCGTGCAACTTAACCAAACCGGGAGTCGCGGGGCCTCTAACCGCCATGGGGTGAGGGGGTCTCATAATAAAGAAATCGCGCCCCTTGACGAACTGGGATAGGCTGAGTGAGCAGGCGCTGCTCTGCTCCTGCCGTGCGCAGAGACGGAAAAAGAAAGAGCTGCCGAAACCCGGGATCGAACCAGGGACCTTTAGATCTTCAGTCTAACGCTCTCCCAACTGAGCTATTTCGGCGGCTGGTGCTGCTGGGATGCGTTGCCGTCCTCCTTGTCTGTGCGGAGGCGCGGGGCACTGGAAGCCACTTCTCATCCCCGGCGCTCTGCGACCCCCCGTCCTCCCAGGTGCCGCCCCCGTGGCCTCCCAGGGTCTGGCCTCCCTCACGGCCCCCTGGCGCACTGTGTCCCTGTCCATCCAGCGTGTCCCGGGCTAACACGCACCAGGCACTGCGCACTGTCCCCGCCGGATCCCCCGGCGCCCGTCACGGAGCAGACGCAGGACTAACGCTTGTTGGAGGAACGGACGGAGGTCGCTTCGCCGCCGCGGGGAACAGCGTCGCGCCCCGGCCCGCAGCGCGCGGTGCCGCGGGAGGCCGACTGCGCCAGGGCCGTCCTCGGGGACAAGGCCGCCGCCCCTGAGCGCGCCGCTCGGCCCGGGTGGGAGCAGGGCCACAGGTGGGCGCCCAGCCTGGGCCCGGGCGGCCGCCCCTAGCCGCGGGAGCCCCTTCCCCGTCTCAGTCACTCAGTAAGCGTTTGCTGGGCACCTACTGGACGTGCGTTTGCTCCACCAGCAAACAGGCAGCAGCTGTCCAGTGGGCAGTGCCTGCCGAGAAGGAAGACAAATCCTGGTGCTAGACGCTGGGGCGGGGGCAGGAGAAGGGGACAGCAGAGGCCGAGGAGGAGGAGCCAGGCATGCTGGACCCTGGGGACGAGCATCCCGGGCAGGGGGACAGCTGGGCTCCCGAGACTGGAAAGGCGTAGCCTTGGCAGGAACAGGAGAGTGGTCCCGGTGGAGACGTCGAGGCCCAGTGGGGCAGAGGCCGCATCCCACTCACCTGCAAGGCCTGGGAACACAGGCTGGATTTTCCTCTGGTTGGAAAGCCACTGGAGTGGGGGACACTGACGTCTGGGTGTTTTTCTGGTTGCAGTTTGGAGAATGGACAGGAGCCACCAGGGTGGCTGCAGGGACACCAGCGAGGAGGCTGAGGGCGTGGTAAAGCCAGAGCAGGGGTGTCCCAGGCCAGGGAGGAGCTGGGAACTCGTGGGGATGGAGACCGGGTTCAGGAAGAGTCAGGGAGCATGACACCGGGCTGGGGGGTCTGCTGGGAATGGCCAGCCCTGACCAGAAACAGGAGGCCCTGGGGCGGCAAAGCTGTCAAGACTTCAGTCACAAACACGTCGCCTTTTGAGACACCCCTTCGATTTCCAAATGGAAACGCAGACACAGCCACTTTCCTGCACATATTGAAGCCAACAGTCTTCTGTGTGTCCCCAAATCCAGTGTTATGGGCTGAGTGATGTCCCCCCACAATTCATATGTCGAAGGCCTAACCCTGGTTCCTCAGCATGTGACAGCACAGTTGGAGGCAGGACCTTTAAAGAACCCACTACTTCAGGCAGCACCTGAGGGTGGGCCCTAATCCAAGATGGCCAGTGTCTTCACAAGAAGGGAGATTAGGATAGATTCACCTGCAGGGAAACAGCAGAGAGAAGGTGGCCAGTGGCAGGCCAAGGAGAGAAGGCAAGAAGAAGCCCGGGCCGCTGGCAGCCCCAGAGCTGTGGGGAAATATGTGTGTGTTCTTTAAGCCCCGTCTCTGCTATTTTTTTTTCAAGACTGACCCACCCAGGCTGCAGGACACCCGCCCATCCATATGCTGGATTTTCCTGGAGAGGGGAAGATTTGTGCTTTCAGGGGAATCATCCTGGAAATGATTTGGGAGAAATAGGAGGCCCTGTGCTCTGGTGTCCCCATCTGAAGAGCCTCTAGAAGAGGCCTTGCAGATGGCCTTGGCTGGGCATTCAGCTCAATGTTTTCATTTCTGATATGGGTGTCAGGTCTTGCTAGATCCAGCTCCAAACAGCCAGGCGAGCAATTCACATCCAACCCATCCCCTGTATTTCTCACTTAACAATCCACCAACTCAAAGCTCAGCACACAGAAGGCCCTCAATAGTTGTGACATAAGTGGGTTAGGTGGCAGTAACAAATATCTCCACCCAGGTGGCAGAAAGCAATGGGGATTTATTCTTGTACAGTTCTGGAGGACAGAAGTCTAAAGGCAAGGTGCTGGCAGGTTTCTTCTGGAAGCTTTGAGGGAGAATCGGCTCCAGGCCTCTCCCCAGGTTCTGGCAGAGGTGGGCAGACAGTCCTAGGCGGACTTCAGCCTGTGGACACGGGTCCACCCTTGGCGTCCTTCTTCCCATAGTTCTCCTCTCCATTTCTCTGCTTTCTCTTTTCCTGTTTCTTCTAAGGGCATTTAGGACCTGCCCCAACCCAGAATGATCTGCAGGAGCACTTTCCACGTGCTAACAATCTCAAGATCCTCCCCTAAATGACATCTTGTAGTTGTTGTTGGGTACCAGGCTCTGGGGCATTCGACCGCTGAGCCCCATTCCCAGCCCTATTTTATATTTTATTTAGAGACAGGGTCTTACTGAGTTGCTTAGTGCCTCGCTTTTGTTGAGGCTGGCTTTGAAGTTGCAATCCTCCTGTTTCAGCCTCCTGAGCCACTGGGATTAGAGGAGTGGGCCACTGTGCCCAGTATATCATTTATTTATTTATTTATTTAACATTTATTTTTTAGTTTTTTAGGTGGACAAAATATCTTTTATTTTATTTTTATGTGGTGCTAAGGATTGAACCTAGTGCCTCATGCATGCTAGGCGAGCGCACTATCATTGAGACACAACCCCAACCCTATTATTTAATTTTTATGATTTGATTTTTAAAATCAAAACATGATTACTATCAAGAAGCAGAAAACTGATCAGATCACTATCAGAAAACTGACACTATGGGCCAGGAAGTGCCCATGTCCTGCTACAGGAAGCAGCTTTTGAGGGTGGTTAGTTGAACATCCCTCTAGGCCTTACTTCTGTGGATACACGTTCATCGAAAGCCACATGGAGAGAGACGGACAGATCATCTTTGTTAAAATTTGATCATGTTCTATGCTTTTAACCAAAAGCAGCAACATTAATTTTTCAATAAATAAAATTAAAGCAATTGCTGAACTTCAGAAAAGTTTTCTTCATCCCATAAAACACACTAGTTCCCAATAAAATCCTCTGTGTTAGGAAAAATTATTATCAAAACAATTAACTTGGGCTGGGCACAGAGGCACACACATCATGATCCCAGATGTTTAGGAGGCTGAGGCAAGAGGATCCCAAGTTCAAGGCCAATCTGGGCAATTTAGTGAGACCTTGTGTCAAAGAAAGTAAAAATAAAACCGGGGCTGAGGTTGTGGCTGGGTGGTAGAGCGCTTACCTAGCACATGTGAGGCCCTGGGTTGGATCCTCAGCACCACAAAAAAATAAATAAACACATGCTGTCCATCTACAAGCACAAAAACAAACATACAAACAAACAAACAAATAAATAAATAGAATTTAAAAAAAGAAAACAGCGGAACATTTGCCTAGTATGTTCTCAGGACTGGGTCTGGGATGTAGCTCGGTGGCAAAACACTTGCCTTGAATATGCACCTGCCCTGGGTTCTATTACCAGTTCCCCAAAAAAGAAGACAAAACTTGTCTCCCCCAAACAGACCCCAACGGAAATAAAGAAAGTGAGAAAAAAAATTCTCCATACTGCAAAAGAAAAAAAAAAAAAAAATATATATATATATATATATATATATATATAAAATAAAGATGTGTGTTTTGAAAGAAAACATCTTAACTTCAAGGGCCTGGGCCCATCATCACCTGATACATAGGAGTTAATTCAACCGTTTTCCAGCCTGTATTGCTGTGCCCTTGTGCCCAGGTTTTCCCTTTTGTATTAAGATCTTAGCACTAAAAACTCAATTCCATACTCGGGGTTGTGAGGCCAGAGTGTGGGGTACGAGAGACCTGGAAGCGCCCTCGGAAGGGTGCTGAGCTATTGATCCTGGCTTCTCCATTTCACTCCTTTCTTCCCCAAACAAGTCTTGATTAACAAGTCATTTTTGTCCTGAGGTGTGGCTCACSGGACTCAGCCTCCCCAAGGGAAAAGAAGCAGGAGTACTGGGTACATCCTCCGTGTGGTGCCACCAGCACCTCATCCAGCTCCAGCATTTCCTGGCTGGGCCTCCTCATTTCTGTCCCTGGCCCTGGAAACCACCAGTCCCCTTTTTGCGCAGGATTTCAGTCATAGCTAAAAAAAAAAAAAAAAAAGTTATTTACAGCAAGGGCTGAAAGTGTGAACTGATGGTTTTACTTCCTTTTTTTTATGATACCAGACAAACTTGGGGGGCACTTAACCACCGAGCCCCATCTCCAGACCTTTTTATATTTTCCTTAGAGACAGAGTCTTGCTAAATTGCTGAAACTGCAATCTTCCTACCTCAGCCTCCCAAGCCACTAGGATCACAGGTGGCCACCAGCCTGGCCTCCCGTGTGTTTTAAATATTTGTAGGAGCCAGCTTTCCCGTCAGTGTTATCAACAACTCGTTTTTCCTCTTCTGTGCGTTCATTGCCTGTTGACTCTTGGTCTACAGGTATTTTAGGATTTTTCTTAATGATTTGAATAAATTATTTGTCTTTTCTTTCCTTCTTTTTATTTTGAATAAATGGTGTCTGTAACAAAGATATTAGTCCTTAGAGTCTTTTGCCTACAGTCTGTTTTTAATCATTGTAGGAAATTTATTTTTTACCTACATTATTTTCTACATAGACCAAATACAAGGGTATAGCTACCAAAAAACAAAGACAACAAGAAAAAAAGAAAGAAAAATAAAAGACACAGCATTTACCATTCTGGACCATTTAGGGTCCAGATTGCTGCCCCTTCTAGAATTGCAAACAATGCCCCGTAAGACCCTTGAAAATAAAGCAAACCAACCCCTTTCTGCTTCTGTGCTGGGAAGCTGGGTTCCTTGTGAGCTGGTGAGCCCCACTGTATTTTCCCTCCAGTTGAATCTCTTTTGATTCAATCCACCTGGAAGTTACTTTTTTTGCAAATGTTAGATATGAGTCTACATGGGTGATTTTAGTGTAAAAAGAAACAAAGGTTTCTCCACCTGAGATGTGGGGCAGGCGTGATTGAACAGGACTGCAAGGCGACTTGGGGACCAGTAGAGGTTTCTTACTGCTCTTTCCCTTAATGCATACTTGCCTTTAGTTTGTAAAACCTCAGTGGAGGCACGCAGTTGGGAGCTCGAGTGCGGGTCTAGGTGGATGCACATTATCTGAGCGACAGGTCCCCACTGGGTGGGACCCGCGGAGCCTGGAATCCAACGGCAGGGCCCGCGTTCACCCGGTCATGGGTGCAAACAAGGGTGACACCGAGTCCTGCCTACCTGCATCTCAAAATGCAAAAGCCCCAGGCAGCCTCCCCGTCGGGGAATCGAACCCCGGTCTCCCGCGTGACAGGCGGGGATACTCACCACTATACTAACGAGGACGGGCCATGCCAGCCACTCTCCGGGCCGGCTCCTGTGGATGGCGAGCTCTCTCGGCTTCCGCAGGGCGTGGTCCGCGAGGGCGGCGCTGCCTGGCTGGGCTCCAGGCCGGGCCGCTGCCTATCAGGCTTCCGCGCGTACTGAGTCAGGGCGGGGGTGTAGCTCAGTGGTAGAGCGCATGCTTTGCATGTATGAGGCCCCGGGTTCAATCCCCGGCATCTCCACTTGTCTTTTGCGTCATTCTTTGAATCACACGTCTGCTTAGGGAACCCAGGCACCCCCTCCGGAAAGTCCCTGCAGCCGGCCTGGTTGAACTGACGCTCCGGGTCCCCCAAGTCACCCAGCAGGTGGGAAACCTCTGCATTTGTACAGAGGGTGCCTTCGGTGATCCTGAGCCCCTCAGGCCAGGGAGTGTGCAACCCTGAGCACCTTCTGTGTGCCTAAGGATAGTGCCAGATTCCCTGGACTCCCTACCTGGATTGACCAGGCCAGGCGTCTCAGCCTTTTCGGGATTCACGCACCAGACCAGGGTACCAATAGTGGGCAACGGAGTGATGAGGTGGGAACTAGGGGGATGTCAGAGCCGCGGAGGAAACCGCAAGTGCAAAGGCCCTGGGGTTGGAGCAGGGGCTGCTCTGTGGTGAGTGCACACAACAACCCTGCACTTGGTCTCCCGGCTCCTTGGGGATAAGCTGGGAGGGCAGGGAGATGAAGGCAGGAGCCGGTGGGGCCTGCTGTGGAGGACACTGCAAGGCCCAGAGCTGAGCATGACCCGATCACATTCAGTTTTAAACAGCTCCCTCTGGTGGCCGGGCAGAGACTGTACCCTGGCAGGTGGGAGGAACTCCCGGGAAGTCCAGCCAGGCCCCAGCGCTGGCCCAGGAGGAGCCAGTGGAGGCTTCTCCAGCCAGGCAAAGTGCAGCTGAGGAGGCGAGGGAGTCTCCCACGTGCCTAATGGGGCACAACACTTTATCCTTGTCATTCAGGTTCACTTGAGTCTTAAGCATTATGGTCGCAGGGTACACTGCTGACCTTGCGCGTTGGTCCTGTGTCGCTCTGCGGGATGGACTCCTGCCACAGCATCACAGGGCCCAGAGACAAAGATGCTTGTATTTAAAAATACTTGTATTGGAAATTTTACTTGATTCTTCCCCTGCGGGCAGCGCCTGGCCTCTTTACTAGGGATGGTGGACGTGCTCTCTGCCCAGCTTCAGGCCAGCAATGGGTGTTGCCTTCTTAATTTCTTCAATATATGCTGGGAACAAAGTGTCACTGCATTATTGACATTGTGTCCCTTCCCCACCTGCTGAGAGGGCGGGCATCTTCATGAATGTCTGCCGGCCACTTGGTGTGCCCATGGCTGAGAAAGGTTTGCAAAAGGAAAAAGGAGCTGGGGGACCAACTCTCAAAATGCCGCCCCAGGACGGGGTTTGGGGATATTTTGGGACAAAGCAACAGGGTGATTAAGGTGTGGAGAATAGGGACAGGAGTGACATCATTGTGGTCTGCACAGGCCTAGCCAACCCTCGTGGCCCGCCACCCACCCAGTGCTCAGCTGTGAGCGACGAGGGTGCGGTTTTCAACCTTCAGAAGGTCACAGATGATGGGGTGCTGGGGGTGAGGTTCAGCAGAGTGTCTGCCTGGTGCGAGCTAGGCCCTGGGTTCCACCCCAGCGCTGGAAGCAGGAACAACAAAAAGTCACCTACTGGGCCCAGCGCGAGGGCCTGCTCTCCCTGGTCTTGCTGTTGAGGGTGGACGGCCCTGGGATAGCTTGTGATCCTTCTGCCTCAGCCTCCTCAGCTGCTGGGATTACAGGTGTGCCCCACCGCACCTGGCTGTTTTAATTTTGGGCAGAGTCTCCCTGTGCCACCCAGGCTGTCCTGGGACCGTGGGCAGTGCCCCTCAGCCCTGGCGGGACCATTCCGGCTGCCCGGTGGGGATTTCCTGCAGCTCACCTGTGAGAGTCTTCGCCCAGTTGTCTCTCCCAGTCGCCCAGGGCTCATCCTGCACGTCAGGCGGTCTGTCTATCATGTTTCGCAGCAGTTTTCCTGTGTGTTCTTTCATTTTCCAAATAAGTCGCTCTCTACGTCAACTTGGAATTTCCAGAGCCCCATGGCTCCCCTTTCCTTGCAGCTTCGGGGGTGTCCATCTGTTTAAGACCTCCCTGGACTTTTACCAACACTCCTCACAATCCTCCTCTTAACCTTGTGCCACTCTTGCGGGGATGCAGATGGAGAGCAGGGCAGAGGGTCTGCTCTCCCTGGTCCTGCTGCTGTGGTGGACAGCCCTCCCATGGCTCAGAGGGCTGGACTTCTGTGACAAACCAGGCCAGGGGGCAGGAAGGAAGCTCAGGGTTTCCCAGGGGAGGGAACAGCACCCGCAGGCCACAGGCTACTGAGAGAAGGGAGGAGGGCAGGGTGGCTGGGGTGTGGGAGTGGGGCACCTGCATAGCCTACAGGCTTCCCTGGAGGGAGTCCCCACCATCCTTCCCCCACTGTGAGGCTGTTCCCCAGTGGTGTAGAGCCAGCCAGGGCTGTGCATGGAGGCCAGCGCTCAGCCCCTCCCAAGGCCATGGGACCTCCCATGTCCACCTCCGCCTGCCTGGTGGGCACTCGCACAGGAGTGGAGCGGTGCACATGAGGATGCCCAGCTCAGACCGCTCACGGTAGCAGGAGGAAGCGGCGAAAAACAGCATGGTGGGGTGGAGCTGCCCGCAGGGCCATTCTGCCAATGGGTCAGCTCAACCGCAGACAGGGGCTTGGAGAGCCACCGGGGAGAGAACAGGCCATGGGCAGGTCTAGGGTGCCCCTGGGTGGTGCGTGGAGAGGGGCACCCAGGAGGGCTGCTCAGCCTGTGCGAGCCCTGAGCCGCGTCCCCCTCACATTAATTACTTGTCCTTCAAAGGACGCTATCAAGAGAGCGAAAGGGTGGGTGGCCCTGGGAGAAAATGCCTGCACAACATTCACCTGACCAGGAACAGGGACTTGTTCTGCACACTGCCCCGGCACTGGGCACCGAACCTGGGGTGCTGGGCACTGAGCCAGGTCCCCTGCCCAGTCCTCAGTCCTCTCACAGCTCAACAAGGAACCCAGTTTAAAAATGAGAAAAGCAGCTTTATTCACAATAAYGAAAAGGTGTGGACTGTGGGGCACGGACTGTGGAGCACGCAGGTCCACAGGGAGGAAGGGTCAGGGGAGGGATGGGCGTGTCACGCAGCTGAACGGGAGGGTGTGAGGCACGCAGATGGTGGTGACAGTTGACCAAAACTGTGCTGTGACCAGAAGACTGACAGCAACAGAGAAGTTTCCTGGGGCTCAGCTGCAGGTCCTGGTCCACAGACAGAGGGTCCCCAGCTCTGGGCGGAGTGCGGCAGGARGCCATGGTGGAGGGACATGGAGAGTGGCTCAGGACATAGCACCAGGAAGCAGAGCAAGCCGTGACAGGGGCAAAATACAACCTCACAGCATGCCCCCGCTAGGGGGTCCAGCCCCTAGACCCCTCCTTCCTGCCTCTAGTTACCACTATCCTTAGTTAGTCCAGTCCCTATCCTGCTGACAGGTGGGGCCCTGGAGCCACCTACTCTACCTGGGAACTTCTTACACTGCCTCCTATGTGAGCCTTGGGGACGCCTCACACGGAAAACCGCGCGGCACCCACCTAACTGAACCAGTTAGGTGGTGGGGCACTGCCAGGCTCGGTGGCTCCCACTGGTCATCCCAGACTTGGGAGGCTGAGGCAGAGGCACCACAGGTGAGAGGCTAGTTTCAGCAGTGGAGGCCATGTCCTCAAAATAAAAAGGGTGGGTGTGGGGAGCCTTCCAGCCTGTCCAGGATCAGTCCCTGTGGCCAGCCTTTCACAGGGAGGCCCTCAGGTGAGAGCGGAGCTGTGAGGTGGGCCTGCCACGTGGGACAGCTCGGAGACAAGGCCCAGGGCTGGGCAGCCCTGGGGGCTCCTTCTGCCACAGGGAGGGGCTCCACAGCTCTGTGGAGGGCTGGCAGGTGCCCCCAGTCCTGAGTTCCACGGGGGCTAATGTAGCCCATAGAACACGTCTAACATAGGACCAGATGGGAGGTCCGACAATTGTCCACCTTATAATAAATAGTTATGAAAAAGGAAGCAGGCCAGGGGGCTGGGGGACATGCTGGGTGCTGCCAGCCCCTTCAGTCCCCCTTCAGTCTCCAGTCCAGTCCTGCAGCCAAGTGTCCAGTCAGCGGTCAGAGGTGGGGGGCCAGGCCTTCTCGACACTGGCGTGCATGGCCTGCGGGAGCCACTCACAGTACTCAGCCAGTAGGTCTGCAGACGGAGAGAGGACAGGGTCAGTGTGGTCGTGTCCAGGACTCATGAACTGGAGACACCGCCATCCACTGCAGGGCCAGGTCCCCCCTGCACAAAGCACCGAAGCCTCCTCCCGACTCACATTTGGGGTCTTTCTTCCAGGCGGCCAGCAGGGCGTCCCTACAGTCGGCCTTCTCGGCAACGAGGGCCCTCAGCAGACTCTCCGTGCGTGGCTGCAGCCTACGAGCAGAAGGTGGGCAGTGGGCAGGGGCAGGAGCCGGGTGCTGAGGGGGCAGGCCAAGCTGAGCCAAGGAAGGGGAGACGTGGGGAGGTGCAGGGTCTGAGATTGGTGGACCCAGGGGGGAGGATGCTTCCTGTCCCCACCTGGCTATGCTGCAGTGGGCTGACCAGTGATCTCCTGCCCAAATTCATGCCCTATCAGAACCGTGGAGTGTACAGTTATTTGAGATGAGGGTGGACTGTGTTACGGTGGCCCCAAATGCAGCGACTGCGTCCACACAGGAGTGGACAGAGCACAGAGGAAGAGGCTGTGGAGATGAGCTGATGCTGTCACAGGCTAGGGACGCCAGCGGCCAGAGGGGCTGGAGGGGCGAGGCCTGGCCACATCCCGAGGACGCCTAGGGCCTCCAGCACCGAGGAAGCCAATGATGTTTGCAGACCCCCAGTGTACAGCAGCTTGTCACAGCCGCCCTCGGGAGGGCACATGGCTGTCACCAGGCACCAGGAGTCCATACCTGGCCCACGTCTTCAGCATGGTGCTCGGGCTGGAGAGCAGGCAGCCCTGGTAGGAAGCCAGCTTGCAGAAGACCTAAGGAGACCACAGGAGATGAGACCGGCTCGCCCTAGGCCGCCTGAGAGGAGAGGCCACGGGAGCCGCGGGTAGCCCACCTGCCCTTCCAGCAGAAACCGCGCAAAGTGCTTGTAGCGGTCGAGGCCCTCTGGATAGTCCACCTGGACGGCAGGGAGTGGCCAGCTGACACGATCTGGAGGGACAGCCGGTGAGTGAGGGACCCTCCAGCAGCTGCCCTCCCAAGCTGTAGGTGAGTCCTTGGACCCACCCATGGGGACAGGAGGCCCCAGGTGAAGCCCACAGAACTGCACCCAGGCCAGCTGTGACCATGGGTCCCAAGACTCAGGCTGCAGGGTGGAGCCGAGCCCCCCAGGAAGCTAGCGGACTCACAGAACACGCTGGTCCGGTGACAAAGCACCCGCCCCTGCTCGGGGCAGAAGGTGGGGGCTGGCTCCTCCAGGGGCTTGTCAAACTGGCAGTAGGAGGGCAGCAGGGCTGGAATCCACTGGACCTCCACGGTGCAGACACCTGGGGCCGGGCAGAGGCCAGCGTCACCAAAGCTCAATGCCCTCGCTGCAGGGGTCCCAGGCCACAGTCCACAGCACCCCTCAGGGCAGGGGAGGCTGCCCACAGGGGCTGGCCATGGACACAGCACCTTTCATGTACATCTTGGAGGTCTCCACGATTTCCTGGTAGACCACGAACTCGGGGAGCTCTCTGAAAAGGACGGAGCTGGGGTGGATGAAGACAGGGTCATCCAGGAGAGGGGTCTGCAGAGGGGAATGACAGCGTTCAAGGAATGAGACCCAAACGCCAGTGATCAGCCGCCTTTGACCCACAGGACCCAACCACACACTCCTGGCCAAAGCAGGAGCCCCCACGAAGGACGGCCAGGTGGACCCAAACCAGTGCTACGCCCAGCACACACAGGACAGAGCCACGGACCATGTGGACCGACCTAAAAACGGTATGCTGGGTGACAGAGCCAGCCACAAAGGCCAGATCACGTCCCCCACTGACATGAAATGTGGTAGAGGCAAATCCAGTCGGAGCCCACGCTGGGGGAGGGGCGGGGCCTGTGTACCAGGCCAGGCAGGGCAGGCCAGGCTGGACGGCCCATGAGGACCAGAAGCCCTGCCCGGCTCAGGCTGGCCCACCTTGTAGGCGTTCCTCCACTTCTCATCCAGCAGCTCCTCACTCTGCACCCTGCGGGCCAGGTGATCACCCAGGCCGGCCGTCACCATCTGTCGCAGGTAGGTCACCTGGCTCTCAGTGGGTGGCTGCATCTTGGGATCCACGAAGAGCCCAGCCTCAGGGCACACGGCATTGACTGGGCAGAGAGCAAAGTGAGGGCAGTGGTGGGACTGGGGTCGTTCAGCCCTGGCATTCAGAAGGCTCCACGGCTCGGAATGGCAGCTGGGCACTTGGCCTGGCCCTGAGACCCTCCCACGCCCTCCTTCCTTAGGCTAGGACGGGCTCCTGTGAGTGGCAGAGTGTCCCAAAGAGACAGCCGTCCCCAAGACCCCAGGTAGCCTGAGACCTTGTGCTAGTCCACGTGATGAAGACTGGGGGTGGGGTGGGGGGTGGAGGGCACCCGGGGGTGCCGATGGCTTCCTGGGGGTGCCATCTTGGGGCAGGGCGGCAGGCAGAACCTCGCTGGCCTTCCTCTCCACCCTAGAGAGTTGCCTGGGGACATGACCGGCAAGGCCAAGCTGCCATCAGTGTGCAGGGGTCTCCTGCAGTTTTAGGCTGACACACTGGGGACGGGGCTGGGTAAGGGGACAGACACACAAAGTAAGGTGACAGGACCCCATGATGCATCTGGTGCTCAGGAAGCATCAGCCCGAAAAGCCACTGACTCTGGCACCAAACCTTGTAACCTGCTTTCACTAAACACGCACTCCCTGTCCTCCTCAGGGAAAGGCAAGGGCTGCCCGTGTCCACACTGGCTCCCGAGCACGTGTCGCTGGGAGAGGACATTCTTCTCCCTGCCAGCCCCCAGGTGTTGCTGGCAGGAGATCATTTGTGTTGCTAGCTCAGGTGTGAAGGCCTAGGGTCCTGGGGGACACCAGGGAGGACAGAGAGGCCCGCCAGGGCAAAAAATAGGGACAGGGCATCACCAAGGAACAGATGGCCCAGAAGGAAGCTACTGGGTCACCACACACTGTGGCACAGGGAGCCCACACAAAGACTGGGGGCCTGGTGGGAAAGCTGGCAAGATGCCATCTTTTCTGAAAAGTTCAAATGCTGCAAGAGCCGAGGCCAGGGGTGGCAAGTGCACTGAAGGCCACGGGCTATACCTGCAGTGGTCAGCTGGCCCCGCAGGCGCCGGATCTCCAGCATGGCCTTGTACCGCAGCCCGTTGGCCTCACAGAACTGGGGCGAGCAGCCGGCATACTCGCAGGCTCCCACGGCACCTGGGGATGAGGGGTATGCTCACTCATGAACCCCACCCCGGACCAAGGGACCTCACACCCGGTCATGCCCCTGTGGCAGATACCCACCCAGCAGCACCATGAGGTCACCGAGCTTCAGGGAGGCTCCCTGCCCCGCCCAGGCCCGCTTCACCTGGGCCACCCGTGACCGCCTGGCCTTCAGCATGGCAAGTTCGTCCTCGCTGGCTGCTGGCCTGCAAACACACACACTGCCCTGTGGCCACCCTGTCCCCCTCAGGGCCGCAGGGGTCACAGTGAACACCAAGGTGTCCACTCCAGGTCAGAATGTACCACCAGCAGCCGCCAAGATGAACCGCATACCCCTGGACAGTGAGGCCGATGGGGGCAGGCGGCCCAGCACCCCAGCTGCGGGGTAGGCACCAGGGCAACAGACGACGCCAGCGCCCCCCAGGCCCCACACCACACTGATGTCAGGTGGGGGCATGGCTCCAAGTGCTCTGGTGACATCAGCTCTCTGAATTCCAACTCCCACGCAAGGGGACACTCATCGCTGTCCAGTTCTCTAGGTGGGCACGAGGCTCAGCGCTGAGTGGCACCTGCGTGTTCAGGCCTGAGCACGTTGTGCACCTCGGCCCCCCAGGCCCAGCCAGGCAGGAGTGARCCGCGGGGCGTGGCGGGTGGGTTGACTGCCCTGCCTGACGGTGATGCCCCTGCACCCCTGGGTCCCCACTCAGCCCTGGTCCCACCATCTTTTAGAGGTAGTGGAAGGCACTACAGCCACCTGACATGCTCAGGGGGACGGGCCTCCCACAGGGCCACCCAGCCACAGGCTCYCTGAACGTGGCCAAGCCCAGTACACACCGCACCTGTCCAGCTCCTCAAACAGCTCCCGCACCGTCATGGCAGCCACAATGGCGATGGCATAGGGCAAACAGCCGTGTTGCCGGCTCAGCGCCAGCATCTTAGCATAACGGGGTGCCACAGGGAAGGTGGCCATGGTCCTGCCCAGCACCGTGATGGGGCAGCTCAGCCGGGACCTCTGCAGCTGCTTCAACCTGGAGACAGAGGCTGCRGTGGGTGGGACCCCACGAGAGGCACCCAGCCAGAGCCCAGCCACGCCTGCCCAGCTCCGCCCACCTTCCCGTCCGGCCCCGCCCCACCTTCCTGCCTGCTTGGGAGCCTGCAGGGCCCCCAGTGCGATCAGCAGCTCCTCAGCAGCCACGAGGGCCTCCGTGGAGGGAGGCGTTGGGAAGGGGAAGTTGATGACCTGGGGAGACAGGCAGGTGAGGGGACAGTGTGGCCAGTGAGGGGGCAGTGTGGCCACGTATGAGCACTGCGTGCTGCCCCTGCTCCTGGCGACCTTCCGCCCTGTCCTGAGCACCACTCACGCCACCCAGGACGTGGCCTGGGCACTTGGAAGCTGCCGAGAGTGCTCTCCAGACCCAGGGGCAAGGTTCCTTGAGCCCCTTGCGCATGTACCCCACTCGCTCACCAGGAGCAGGTCCCGAGCATCCACTGCACGCCAGGGCTGTCCCCGAGCACTACTGCCCAGGGGGGTCAGCAGCGTCATGTGAACAAGTGACACTAAAGAACAGTGCCCCAGTGAGACGGGGAGGGGAGAGTGGTGGGGCACAGGGACGCTGGCCCTTGGGAATGTCCAGGTGGACTGGTCACAAACACCTAGACACACATCCATGGTAGCCGAGGCACGACAGTCCATGCCTGTCAGTGGGCAAGACCACGGACATCATGGCCGTCCAGCCAGAAGAATGTGGCAGACATGTCACCCACGACCCCCGAGGACATGCCACACCGCAGCCAAGCCCAGGAGCCTGCAGTGTGTGACTCCGCTGCAGGAAACACCAACAGGAGGCAGGGCTGCAGGGAGCGGGTTTCCGGGGTGATGAAAATGGTCTGCACCGCTCTGTGAGCACCTGAAAACCATCTGAAATGGGCCAAATGGCTGAAGGGTATGGTTGCACACGCACCTCAACACGCTGTCCAAACAAGCGTAATGAGGAATGGACTTGGGGGGGGCTAAATCCTGAGCAGGAGGCAGGGGTCTACATGCAGTACAGGGGGCAGCATGTGCAAAGACCCTGGGGTGGGAGGAGTGTGGTCCACTGAAGGAAGGGACAAGGGGACTGGACAATTGATGGTAGTGGGCCACAGTGAGCAGGGATTGCTGGGCAGTGAGGTCTAGGGGAGGACAAGCAGGACCTTACTCAAGAGCAAGAAGATTTTCCACAGAAGTGATTTGATCTCACACAAAGGCATTCCAGGTGGGGCTCTAGGGCAAGGACCAGCTCCGCACTCACCCCCCACCATCCAGCCTGGGACCCACGCCAGGCCTGGCTCATGCGTAAAATGGGGACCACGGAGGGTAAACTGAGGCCACAGCAGCAGAGCATCCTGCACAGCCGGGCACGCGCTCTCCCGTGAGCCGCCCTGGCCCCAACTGTTCTTAGTAGGGAAAAGGATCAAGCCCAAGGCAGCGAGTGGACTGATGGGTGAAAGGCAGAGAACCACAGAAACACAGGATGAACATGTTTAAAAACATGACAGAGGCCACGGGGCCGCAGCCAGGGATGGCGGGAGGGATTCATGTCATCTCCGAGGATCTCAAGTACATGAATCTCAAACCTTGAACACTCGCACATCTGAACCAGAAAATGAAGGAGTACTTTCTTTTTCATTCAGAGATGGGGTTCACCATGTTGCCCAGACTGGGCTCAACTCCTGTCTCAGCCTCCCAGGAGCTGGGACTGCAGGTAGGCGCCGCTGAGCCCCACAAGGACATTTAAAATGTGTTGTTTTAAAAAGCAACAGAAGGCCACCTGGGTTCTGCCACTTGTCTCTGGGTAAGGACCCTCACTTGCTGGCCTTGGTTTCTCCACTATTAAGAGGGGACCTGGACACCTGTGGCAGGGCAAGGGGCCTGAGGGGGCAGGTGCCTGGCTCAGCATGGATGGCACCCTGCTGTCAGGACAGGGTCCTTCCTCCTCACAGGACTGGCCAGAATCCACAGCCCCTGCCCACAGCCCACAGGTTGCACAGGACTCGCTGCCCAGGTGCCTCTGCCCCTGGGAGCCCAAGGGGAGCAGTCCTAGGGAGGTGTCAGTCATGGCGGCCACAGGAGCTGGGGGCGGGTGCAGCTGGGCAACACTGACCTTCTCAATGTTGAGAGCTTTCATCTGCAGAATCAAGTCCTCCACGGGCCTGCGGGTGATCTCAGGAGGAGGGAACTGCTCAAAGTCACCGAAGACCGCAGAGGAGTACAGCCTACCGAGACAGCGGGGCCATGAGGATGGGGGACACAGCCTGGGCAGAGGGCAGGGACCAGAGGGGGATGGGCGAAGGGGCACAGCCTGGGCGGAGGCTGGGGGCCACATGGTGTCCTGCCTTCTCATGGGAGGAGAGGGTGACAACGGTGGGCAGGCGGGCAGCTAGAGAGGATGGAGCAGACCCTGCAGGTGCCCCCCCCCCCAAAAAAAACCCCAAAACAACACAGCAGGAAGCTGGGGACACACCTGCAAGGACCTAAGACTCACTTCACACAGGTGCCAACAGGTCAATGACAAAAGGACAGCTAAGCACTGGAAACTGAGCAGGAGCTCAGAGGGCTCCCCAGGAGACTCGGGACAGTGAGAGACGCTGTGGGGCTGTGCGGGACACGCAGGGCAGAGCCATGCCCAGGATGTGCCAGGCCAGCACTGTATCAGTCACCGGGGACGCAGAAGTCCAAACTATCAGACACCACCCCACACACCCAGGTGGCCAGATGGATGAGCCGGGGGAAAGCAGCGTGTGTGGGAGGAGCCCGTGTGGAGGGGCGCGGCGCCCCTGGGAACCAGCTGGACAAGTATTCGGTAAGTCAGGCAGGAGCTGCCACATGACCGGGGACTCATCCCTGGGTCACACCCACGAGAAACGAACACACTCAACCCAGTACCGCGCCACGTCCAGGCAGCCCTGCTCACAGCTCAGAAAAGTGGACATAGCCAGGTGGGCGGCGCACGCCTGTGATACCCTCGACTCAGGACACTGAGGCAGGAGGATCAAGTAAAAGGGCAGCAACATATTTCCCACAGTAAGAAATACAAAGGGCTGGGCATGTGGCTCAGTGCCAAAGGAAAACGGGCACAAGCCATTGCCCACTTGCTGAGAGGTGAGCTGGGACACCCCACGCTGCAGACCGGCCAGCTGTGGATGGAATGGGGTAGCCACACCTGCCATGACCTGACGAGCCCCAGAATCTCGGGCTCAGACGGAAGCTGGTCACCCCAGGCCACACACAGCAGGACCCATTCCACTCATAGGGATGGCAGGCCAGCAGGTTGGGAGGCCTCACAGGGCTACCAGGGCCTGGGAGAAAGGGGAGTAAGCACTATGGGTACGGGGTTCTGTGGGGAGATGGGACCTCCTAAGCTGATCCTGATGATGGCTGCCACTTCAGCGAACACCCTAAAAGCCACAAAATTGGACACTTCAAAATGCATTTCTCAAGCTGTTAACAAAATGCCAGCCTCGCATAACAGGCCGGCCTCAGCAGCAGGACCAAGAAACCCATGAGCGTTGCTGAGGCTGGTGCACCCAGGGATGTGGCGYCCCCCCGGGAGGGCGGCTGCCTTTCCTCGTCCCCAGTGCCCGCTGCAAGGGAACCCAGGGGCCCACCTGTAGCAGTGGCCTGGTTCTGTCCGGCCTGCGCGGCCTGCTCGCTGGTCAGCTGATGCCTGGGAGACCCAGGTGACACGGAAGGAGGATACACCCGTGACGCGGTCATAGAAGCGCTTCTTGACCTTTCCACAGTCCACCACATACTTGATGCCTGGGATGGTGAGGGACGTCTCGGCCACGTTGGTGGCCACAACACACAGCCTCGTCCCCTCTGGGGGAGGCCTGAAGACCTGGGGTTGGAATCAGGAAAGGATCTATGGGTGCAGGCATCCGACAAGGCCCTGACAGCTCCTGACCAGAGGTCGGCGGGGCTGGGTGGGCGGGAGACGGTGAGGTCAAGCTAGCCCCAGATGGCCACAGGGCTGGCAGACTTGTGCACCCCAAGTATCTGGAGGTGCAGGTCAGATGGCAGGGGGAGAACAGGCTGGTGACATCCTAATGCCCTGCAGAGGCGGATGCCTTGGGTGTCCCGGGCCACACTCCCCCCAACAGTACCTGCGCTTGCTTCTCGGGGGCCAGCAGGGAGTAGAGCGGGAGCACGTGGAGGGGCAGGGAGGTGTCCGGCTGCTCACCTGCAGGGAGCAGAGGCCGTTGGCACCTCCACCTCAATGGCCGTGCCCCCAAGCTCTGTGCCCGGGTGCCAGGCTCTGGCCCAGCACAGGAAGTGAGAGAGCCTGGGGGCTCCCAAGGCTCTGCCCTCTCTTCTGCCCAACCCAGGACCATGACACCCACCCAGCCACAGCTGCCTCCTATGAGCCACCTGGCCACATCTCCAGGGCCTCCCCCACCCCAGTCCTTGGCAGCATGATGCTTTGCCCATGGCTCCTGACCCCACACAAAAATCACAGGGTTTTTCCCTTCTTCTCCTTCTTTTAAAGAGATAAGGTCTTGCTGAGTTACCCAGGCTGGTCTCAAACTCCTGGACTCACAAGACCCTCCTGCCTCAGCCTACTGGGGAGCAGGGACCACAGCAGGTTAGCACAGGTGGCCCAACCTACCCCCAGCAAGGTGCTGGTCCACCTGCATGCACAGGGGCCCCATGAATTAGGCACCCCCCCAGCTGGCCTTGTGACCCAACTCCTCCTGGCAAACATGAGTGCTGGGGTAATGACCCCTTTTCTATCCACTGGACAAATGCTGGGCCCTTTGCACCAGGTGCACAGGGTGTGGGAGAYCCCTGGATGGGCAGCAGAAAGCCCAGCCCTGCTGGCTTAAGCTGTGAGGCACAGCAGTGCGTGGCCACACCTGGGACAGGCCTTCTGTTCTACGTGGCTGCCCCTGGGCCCACGATGGGCCCGCCACGTAGAGACTCAATACACGCTTCAGCAAGAAGCCCAGGGAGCTCAAGGGCAGGCTGCGCTGCCAGGGCCACACCTCCGTCATCCCCGTCATCCCCCAGGTCCAAATCAAGGTCGGAGCCCAGGGCCTCCTCCTCGTCGTCCATCTCCGCCTCCCTGTCCTCATCGCCTTCGCCCATTGGCAGCACCGAGTAGTTATCCAGATTGATCTGGGGCAGCGTCTGTGGTCAAAAGACATCGGCACTGTGGCTGCTGTGACCCTGGGGTGAGCCATGGTGTGCACAGGAGCCCCTCCCTTGCCCTGCTGCTTCAGCGGGCCCCAGGTCTGCCTGCCCCAGGAGCCCCGCAGGCCTGCTCAGGGGAGGGAAGTGAAGGGAGGGAGGGGAGTTGGGGACAGGAAGGACAGCAGGACGAACAGCATCATTACTATATGCATACACATGACCGCAGAACCAACGTGACTCTGCAACAGGAACTCTCAGAAAAATGAGCACCACGTACCACAGCCCGAGCCTTCTTTGCCCTAGCCCGGGACTTCTTGAACTTCCGCATTTCCTCCACCGAGTCCTTCTTGTCTTCCTTCTCTGGACGGGGGAGTGGGGAGGGAGAAAGACCCTGTGGCCACTGCAGGTGCCAACTCTTCCAGAGGGAGGCTAATTCCCTGCCAGGGCACCCGGAAAGAGGCTCAGCTGATGGGCAGAGCGCGTGGTCTGGGGGCCCAGGGCCTAGTTACCTGGTGCCCGGGACCTGGAGGCTGGGAAGGCCTTCCTGAGCCTGCGGCACAGCGCGTGCACCTCCGCCTGCCCCGTAAGGAACACCAGGATGCCACCTGTGGGGAGATCGCCCGTTACCCGCCAGTCACTCGGCAAACACTTGGCAACAATCGTCATCTGCCCGCCCTGCAAGAGGCCAGGCTCAAAGGACAACCAGGAGCCAGGAGCACATGGGAGCAGGTACTCCTGGACCAATGGCGCTGTGAGGGTGCTCACCAGACTGCGTAGGCTCCAGTTCCCCTACTGGGCACAGACCCAAAGGACGGAAAATGGCCTCAGACAGAAACCTGCCCACCCTGTGCTGCACCTAGGGTCAGAAGGAATGCCCACCATCCCCACTTCCACCAGCCTCCCCAGGTTTCCCCTGCTCTGCCTCTGATGGTGAGCACCAGGGAGGCTGGGTACAGACAGCTTGGCTACCTGGAGCCTGTGTCCTGTGCCTTGCCCACAGGGCCTCACCTGCAGGCAGCATCCGGTGGATCTTGCAGACCTTCCGGAAGCACTCGCCGCTGTAGTCCTGCAGTGGCGTGTGCTTGTTGAAGTGCACGGTCACGGGGAACTGCCTGGACTCCACCTGCAGGGCGCCCAGAGGGAGTGGGCAGCTTGCCGGGGACTGGCCCCTCTCCTGATCTTTCTGGGTCGGGGTCTTTTGTAGATGGTACTGGGGATTGAGCCTGGAGCCCTTCACCACTGAGCCACAGCCCAGCCGCCACCTCCTGCCTGCTTTTAAACACGTGAGACAGGGTCCTGCTGCATCGCCCAATTGGGCCTGGGGCTGGCGACCCCAGAGGGACTACAGGTGGGCACAAGTGGGCACCACTGTGCCCACACGGGTCAGGGTCCCCAACACAGGATCATTTCCTGTGGCAGAAAGGCTCCTCAGGAGTCATAGCCCTGGAGGGTCAAGGAGAGGACTGCCCCAGCGTTACCTTAATGACGGGAGGCGGCTGGGGGAAGAGCCGCTGGTTCTGGGTGAAGTCCTCCACCCTCAGTGTAGCCGACATGATGAGCAGCTTCAGGGGCAGGTGTCTCTGTAGGAGCACAGGCGGGGTGACCCACAGACCCGAGAAGCCGGGGGGCAGACTCACGCCCCCGCCTCAGTCCCCTCTGGTTGACAGAGAGCCCGTGGAAAGTGCGCGCCAGTGGCAGGACCTACCTGTCCCAAGTGGGAACCAGTTTAAGGGACTCTCACCACCCCCCGGGGCAGGCTCTGAAGGTGGCATGTGGGGCAGGAGATGTGCCCCAGCCCAAGGGCACCAGGGACACAGCTGCCGTCATGTCCATCTGAGCCAAAACTGGCTGTCCCTGAGCTGGGGAAGGAGAGCTGGGCCCTGGCTTTTTCTTTTTTAAACAAACCCCATGGGTTTCCTTTTCTAGAGACTTTCTAACACCATCTGCGGGTTCCACTGTCCACCTTGGATCATGGTCCTGGCCATCCTTTGCTGCTAGGAAACCCCACTTGGAGAGCTCAGCAGCCGTGGGCGCCTGGGGAGGACAGCAGGCCCTGCTCGCCCCACAGCCCCCTCCATCCAAGCCCTCCTAGCTGTCCCCACTTGCTTACTCTGTAGCCACACCAGGCCCCTGGTGCCCCCAAGAGAACCAAGACCACAATGAAACCACGGCATGCCCTGGATGGAGGAAGAAGGCAGATAGAAAGGGGGGAGCCCCGGCCAGGAAGAGAAGGTGGACCCCCACGTTGCCGTGGGCAGGGAAGACAGAATCCACACCGCGGTGTCTAGGGCCTCTACGCGGCCCCCATGGCTAAAGGCAGATCACCGTGACCCGACAACCCTACTCCGCCACATCCAGGAGAAACAGAATGAGCCTACACTAAGAGCTGGACACATGGCTCACAGCCAAGAAGTGCCGGAGGCCTGAAGGCCACCACCTCCCAATGATGGCGGGCACAAGACTCAGGTGAAGGAAGCAAAGCACTGAACAACGCCAGCTGCACGGAGCCCAGGAGCAGCGCACCAAGGCGGCCACCAGCAGAGCACAAAGCCACCCACGAGAAATGTCCCAGCTGACAAATCCAGAGTCAGAAAGAGGACTCAGGTCACCTAGGGGTGGAGTGGGCTGAGGGGACAGGGTGACAGCAAAAGGGTCCAGGCATTTTTAAAGGGTCACCTTTCCAATGAGGTCATCTCTGACGACCCTCCAGCCCCTCCCTGGTACTCCCTGCTCCCTTGGTCAGGGCCAGCTTTCAGAGCTTGCTTACCACCTATCACCTTGACCAAAGTGGAAGCCCCAGGGGAGAAGGAACAGAACACAACTGTCCTACTAACTGCCTGTCCCCCAATGCCCTGCATGTAGCCAGGTGCATAGGACCCCCAGAGTGCCCGCCTCTCTCCACCAAGGGCACAGCTAGGCCCGAGGTGAGTACTCCCAGCAGGAGGGCAGCAGAGCATGGCAAGGCAGACAGGACAGCTGGGCAGGAGCCATCCAGGGAGCCCCGCATGGCAGCTTCTGGCCACTCAGGCTTCCCGCGTCCATTCCTGCCTAATCTCCGGGGGCAGGGAAATGCAGGGGGGCTACAGCACTCCAGTGCCCCACCTCTGTGCCATTCTGAATGCCAGGGGCACTCTCAAGAGGGCTCCATAACTGGCCAGGCTTTCTGGATGCAGAGGAAGGTCAGAAGCATGGGGCTGGACCCAGGCCCCCACAGTGGGGAGGGCAGTGGGCCACGTCACATGGGCAGTTCACACCAAGACCCACAGTCCTGGTGACGGCAAGACTCAGGCCTGGGGCTGTCCACGGGGACCCAAGGCCCCTGATGGTATTCTGGCCATGTCCTGTGGAGGCCCCACAAGAGCAGGAACCGTCTGCTCCCTGGTGCCACCAGCTGTGCTACCTTTGCCCGGAGGACCACGATGCGGGACAGGAGGCCGAGGAGAATGTCCGTGTACACGCTGCGCTCGTGGGCTTCGTCCACGATCACCACCCTGTACTTGAGCAGCAGGAAGTCCTAGGAGGGAGTCAGACGTGAGGCTGGTGGAGCCAAGCCACCAGCCTTCAACCCAGACTCGCTACTCACGGAGCCGGAGCCAGGACTGCGGGCACAGACCCTGTGCACGCGCCTCAGGGGAACCCCAGCTCCGTGACCCAGGGCAGGTTACTTCACCTCTCTGTGCCTCAGTTCCTTGTCCGTAAAATGTGGACAATAGGACCTGTCCCCAGGGGCTGTGGGGAGCGTCAAGGAAAACTGCTGTGACCATGCACAGCACTCGGGGCGGGTCCTGCAAAATAGACCACACAGGGACAGCTGAGGCCTGTCAGAGCAGAGTTGTGGGTGGGGACCCTGGCAAGGGTGGCTTGTGCCACGAGAGGCTGCCTAGACCTCATATTCCCCTGGTGGGCTGCAGGCCACAGCTGGAGTCACCTTTGCCCACCTGCAGCTGCCCCTGCCTGGGGGACAGCACAGGTCTGGTCGGACCGGGGTGGTCTGTGACACCTCCCCACAGCTCCCGGAGGCTCTGCTCCTCCACCTGGGCAATGCACTCTCCCCGGGCACATGCAAGCCACCACATGTGACCAAATGTCCCAGGAATCCTGATGCCCTCACAGCACCTGGAGGCCTGAGGTGCTGGCTTGGGAGGCAGCAATGGAGTGTGCCGCTCACCTAAGGCATCCTGGGACATGGGCGCCTGCAGCTAGGGACAGAAAACCTAGGCTGCTCCTCAGCTCTGCGGGACAAAGACCTGCGGCCCCTTTCCCTGCTCCTCAGCATGAGGCTGGACCACGCTCACAATCCAGGGCTTCCCCCTGCAGCACGCAACTGGACTTGGAAGCCCCAGAGGGACCAGGTGGGGTCAGTGTGGCACACAGGGCGGTGACCAGCACAGCCTAAGTGTAGCGCCACCTGGGGATGCAGCTCTGCAAGCCAAGCCATGAGGAAAATGAGACATTGTATCTATGAGCTCCCACTGATACCAGCTCCCACTGATACCAGCGCCCTGTGCACCGTCCAACCTCTGCTTCAAAGGCAGGAAGACAGTAGTGGACTAGGAACCAAGGCTCAGAGGGGTTGAGTAATAGGCTCAAGCCTACACTACACAGGCACAGTGATCCGTGACGCTCTGCCAGCAGGCAGCACAACAGCTGACCACAGCAAGGTTGACACTGACTCTGCCCCGACTCCCTGTCCTTGCTTTGTGAGACAAGAGAGGCAGCCCACCTTCTGGATTTCTTTGAGCAATACACCATCCGTCATGAACTTGATCCTGGTCTCACTGGTCACGTTTCCTTCGTAACGGATCTGGTAGGAGACGATCCTGCAGGGACGGGAGGTGGCTCAGGGCAGGCAAGGCCTCCGGCGCTGCAGCTCCTGGGCTACAGCCACATGGCCTCTCTGAGGGGGGCGCCCGCTGGGCAGGTGGCTCAGGAAGGGCTCAGCTGCAATCAAGAACAAGACCCAGACGCCTCTTCCATCCACTGTATCCTCCAAAGCCCTGGTGTCCAGTGCAGAGGGGGAGGGGCTGCGAGGAGAGAGGAATTCCAGGGGACTGTGCAGCCACATCACCCAGAACACAATGCAGACCATGGACAGGGGAGAGTGAGGATGGCTTCCTGGAGACACCCACCACGACTGCCTTAGGAGGCCGCTCGGCTGAGGCCAGCCTGGGCAGCTTAGTGAGACCCTGACTCAAAAGAAAAAAACAAAACAGGCTGGGTTGCGGCTCTAGGTGTTGTGTCCCTGGGCTCAAGCAAGTGTCATCTTCCAGACTCGCACAGTGACCAGGGGCCAATCCTCCTATGCAACTTGGCAAGGCCCTCACGTTATGAGGCCCTGTCTCAAAGTAAATAGTAGAAAGGGCTGGGGATGTGGCTCAGTGGCCAGGCATCCTGGGTTCAGTCCCCTGACGGCGGGGTGGGGTGTCTCCGTGTGGAGCGTGGCACTCCAAGGCCTGGTGGAACCAGCTCCCCTCGGCCGTGCAGGGGACTCACCGGCAGGAGAGGGTCTGTGTTTTGGAACCTGCGTCTTCAGCCACCCTGGCGATGCTAAGCCACAGGTGACCGCCTGGCTCCTGCCTGCTCTATCCCCAAGCTCCTGTGTGGGCCCATCTTTCCCCTAAGTGTGTGACAGGGACCCGAGAGCAAGTGGCCTTACCCTGCTTTGTGGCCCCTACCTGGGAGGATCCTGAGGTCTCATGTGCAGCAGCCCCCACAGGCTGCCCTGGGCCCCACTCAGGGGACCCACTCTGCCCAGCACCTCAGGCACAGCCAGGCCCGATGGCCCTTGGCAGGCCTGGATGCCCACTCCTGGGCGAGGCCCCATCGCCCCACGACCGCCCTGGAAGCAATGCCTCACCTCTGTGACAGATTCATCTCCTTGGCCACTCGCTGGGACATGGCCACGGCAGCCACTCGGCGGGGCTCTGTGACACCAATGATGCTGTCATCGCTGGGGAGGGAGAAACAGTGACAGTGGGTCAGCAGCCTGGCCCCGTCTGATTGAGAGCCACATGCGCATCATGTGACAGGTGGCTGTAGGGACAAACCCTCACCAGGGCATGGGACAGGAAGCTGATGGCTGAGGCAGCACCACTAGGGGCTCGGGAAGGAACAGCCAAGTGTCAGCAAAGGTGCTGTCATGGAGCAGGGACCTGGGCGGCCTGGCGGGCCCTCTGTGCCCAGCTGTCCAAGTCAACAATGGTGCTGAGCTCCCGCCTCCTTCTGGGGCAGCGGCTTTTGGTTCCAGCCAGGCAGCCAGGTTTGGGGGACGCCAAGAAAACCTGTGGCCCTGAGCCATCAACAGCCTCCCTGGCAGATGTCACCTCACAACGAAGTGCACGGGGTGAGGCTCCGCTGGCCAGGGATTTGACACTGCGCCTGGGCCCCACGACCCTGGCACCTGTTCCCACCCTGTCCACTCATCATAACCAGCCGGTCATTGGACCACACCACGCAGAGCCCTGGGATCCTCTCAGGGGACCACTGAGCTGGGCGTGGCCTTAGGAACCACATGGCCCACAGGAGGCCACACAACGAAATCAGAGAACACCACTCCACGTGCCAGACGCTGACCTAAGCCTCTTGTGCAAAGCCACTAGCTGCTTCACATGGCTACCCAAGACCCACTGAGGCCAGAGAGGCTGAGCAGCTTCCCTGAAGTCACACAGCATGCAYATGGCAGAGCCAGGATTGCAGCGTCAGGAGCTCAGGCTCTTAACCAGCTTCTGGGACCACGTTGCCACCGTCCCCAAGGGAACCAAAGAGCACCTGTGTGTAGACTCTACCTGCTGTAGCCTGCTTCGTAGAGAAATTGGGGCACCTGTGTGGTCTTCCCACTCCCCGTCTCGCCACATACAATGACGATAGGGTTGTCGGCCACCGCCTCCATGATCACCTGCTCCTCCGCGAGGATCGGGAGCTTGAGCCGCTCTTCCTAGGGGAGAGCGGGAGTTGGTGCTGGGGAGCCGGGGCTACGCCATAGCGGAGGAGGTGGGGGCCCCCCACTCGGACACAGGACACTTAGGGCGCAGAGGTACCTCAGGTGGCACATACACAGTGACCGAATGGGGCTGAGACAGCTGGGGCCGGGGTGTAGAGCACAGCCCTGGACACCTGCAGCACAGGCCCCGCCAGGCACAGCCACCTGCCCCTTCCCAGAGAGGACACTGGGACTCAGGGACTGCCCTGCCCACATGCCTGGCCCTGCCCTCCCTTGCGTTAACCCATGCACTCGTCAGAACCTGCATCTCGGGCACGCGGTTCACGGGGACAAACACGGCGGGCTTCGCCAGGGGCCTTGGCAGATTGGAGGTTGCTCCCTTTGAGGGAGAAGATGCTGTAGCTGCAGAGGGCTGCCCGTGGGGTGCAGGGCTCTCCTGCCTACCCCCAGCTGGGGCCGGTGGAAGCTGTGCTGTGGTGGCCTCAGCAGCCATCTCCTCAGGCTCAGAATCCCCCGTCTCCTCAGGCCCAGAATCCCCCGAGGACTCAGCCTCCTCCTCTGCTGGCCAGTGGGGGCGCTTCCGGTGAGCCCCCACGAGGCTGCTGATCTTCTGGTGGCCCTGTGCTGCTGTTTCATCGGGCTTCCTGCCAGAAGAAGAGATTTCAGGGGCAGAGGCCTGGGGACACGAGGCATTCTGGCTGCCACACACCAGGGGTTGGGCCCCAGAGGCCACATCTCTTGCCACCTCAGGGTCATTCCATCTACTGTTTCCTCTCCCAGAAACACCCTTCCTACAGATCTTCACCTCAGTCAAGGCTCTGCCCGGCCCCGTSCTCCCTCCGCATTGTCACCTCTCAGGGATGCTGACCCACCAGAGCCCCAGGTGCCCCCCCAACCCCGTGCCTGCTCTGTATTAACAGCAGCAAACGGGACCCCATGATTCCTGCCCATTTGCCCCCCGCTGGGACGGAATCCTCTTCTGTGCCCTGCTCTGCCTCCTGGTGCCCAGAGCAGATTCCAGGACACTGCAGCCCTCAGCCAACAAGTCCTGTCCAGCTCATGCTCCACAGGGCTCACAGGCAGCCACAGGGCCCAGAAGATAGACACAGCAGGCCACGCGTGGAAACCACAGCATGGGGCACAAGTGGGCAGGGCACGGGGCTGCTCTGAGGCCTTAGGAAGGCCAGCCTCTCCACCTGGCTGGCCAGCGGGACCCACCCGGGTTTTAGTGTGAGATCTCCTGGTTTCTGAATGCTGCCTGTACTGGGCTAACAGCGTGTCCCCACCACTCATGCCCACTGGGGACATCAGAAGATGGCCTTATCTGCAACCACGGCCTTTGCAGCTATCACAAATTTACGTGAGGACGTATGGATACCACAGGAGCCAGCACAGCTTTTCTGTGCCGCTCGGGAGGTCTAGCAGCATGGCGGACCTGGGGGAGCATTTAACATGGAAGCTCAGGCCACCCCAGTACCTTCCCATGACGCTCCAATCCTAAAGACGCCACCCTGGAGGCCCTCCTGGCTGTGGGGAAGGAGCATGGGAGGGCGGCCCACTCACTCTTTGCTGTGGTACATGCGGTGGCCAGTGCCCAGCTTAGACGTGGTGTACAAGAGTTTCATCTCGGCTTCCGACACCTGGACCTCACTCAACTTCTGCAGCATCTCCGCTCGCTGAGGAGGGAAAGGAGGCCGTTAACCCCGTGGCAGCGACCCTCTCCTTGGACGGAAAGGCAAGCAGTGGGGAGGCTCCACATGCCGACACCACAGCAGGCTGGCTGCACGGTGTCCACCCTCACAGCGCTGGGGGCGGGACAAGGCTCCCTGCAGCACTGCGTGGCTGCTGGATAAGCGTGGCCCTCGTGTAACAGGATGCTGCACTGTTGTCCAAGGGAGGGAGGATATGTACTGGTCCCACACTGCCCTGCGTGACACAGAGCACAGGGCCTTCCACCTGGGACAGAGCTGCATGACTTTTTTCCTTTTGTTCTCAAAATTATACACATGTGCCGACACACTTCTTTATGTCTGTTTCACAACTGTAAAGGAAGCTGGGCCGGGCGTGGTGGCGCACGCCTATGATTCCAGTGGCTCGGGAGGCTGAGGCAGGAGAATGGAAAGTTCAAAGCCAGCCTCAGCAAAAGCAACTCAGGAGACCCTGTCTCTAAATAAAATACAAAATAGGGCTGGGGACATGGCTCAGTGGTTGAGGACCCCTGAGTTCAATCCCTGGTACCCCTGGCCCCCCCACAAAAAAGGGAAGCTGGGCACGGTGGTGCACACTGTCATCCCCAGCTACTCAGGAGACTGAGGCAGGAGGAAGACAAGTTTGAGCTCATTCTGGGCAAGTTAGTGAGATTCAAAATAAAGTAAAACAGGCTGGGAAGGCAGCTCATGTGTGAGATCCTGAGTTTGATTCCCAGAACAGAAAAAAGAAAAACAAAAATGAAGAACAATGGAGAAAATGAACCAGGTTTTGAAGGACACTCCCAGAAGAGCAGTACTTCCCTGCATGGCTGCAGGTTGCACGCCCTGGGTGCTGAGAAGACGTGCCTGTCTCCCCATGGGAACATTGGGTGCACCGCCCCTGGGGTGGCTTCCTAAGTCAAATTTCACCCATCAGAAGTTTTGTGATCAGGGCTCCGCGATGTGGGAGCTGCTGACATTTTGGGCTAGATGATTCTTGCTGTTCTGAGCACCCCAGGCTCCTCCCCAAGATGCCAACAGCCCCAAAGTCATTGCCATCCATGACACTGGGACAAGTCTGTGTTTAGGAGAACCACTGTTATAGACCCTAATGCAAACTTTCTGAAACCTGGAAGGCACAGGAAAACATATCAGAGATTAAAAAAAATTTAGTCCAGTCCACACTAAACAATGAGACAACATGATTTGTTCAACAAATGCTGCAGGAGGTGGGGAGGAAGGACTTATGAGACAAGTGGAGAGCATCATAGCAAGTTCATAGCCAGCAACTGGACATGTGGTGCTATTTCACAGCCATGGCAGCACATGCATTAATCCCAGCAGTTCAGGAGGCAGAGGCAGGAGGATCACAAGCTCAAGGCCAGCCACAGGAACTTAGTGAAGTCCTAAGCAATTTAGCAAGACCTTGCTTCTAAATAAAAGATAAAAGACTGGGGACAGGGATGAAGTTCTGTGATTGAATCTGGGTTCAATCTCTAACATAAAAGAAATAGAAGAAAAGGAAAAAATACGCAGGCATGTTAACGGTGTTGTGATGGTGACTTAAAAAGTCATTATTTTAGAGGTAGATATTAAAATACCCATGGATGAGGCAGTATGTACAATAAGCTGAGAGCTCTGAAGAGATGCTCACCTCCTGGAGCCAGTGAGCATGCTCTTATCTGGAAAAAGCATCTGCAGAAGTAAAGGTTCAAGACCTGCTTGGACCACCCAGGTGGCCCCACGTCCACAGACATAAGAGACATGGAGGGGTGATAAGAAGAGGCAGACACTGGAGACATGCAGCCACACACAAGGAAGCTGGGAGCCTTCAGGAAGAGGGTCAGGAAGAATCTTCCCTCAGAGCCCAGGGAGGGAGTGTGGCCCTGCCAACAGCTGGACTGGGGACTCCTGGCCTCTAGAAGTAGGAGGACGCATTTCTGTTATTTTAAGCCATTCATTTCGTGGTCATTTGTTATGGCAGACACAGAAAAGGGACAGAGATTTACGCTGCCTGGGGTTTGCTTCAGATCTTTCAGGGGTTGGGAAAGGACCAATAGCTGGAACGACCCAAGGCCGACCAGCAAGTGATAAGTGGGCACTGGTGACGGGCACATGGGAGTTCACTATACTGTTCTCTCTACTTTTGTGGATCTTTGAATTTCCCATTACAAATGTTTTTCCTTTAAATATATTAAGGAAAAAAATGGTTGAAATTCTCTAAAGTTAAAAATAACATAAACCAGGCAATGTGGTACACCCCTGTAACCCCAGCAGCATGGGGGGCTGAAGCAGGAGCATCACAAGTTCAAAACCAGCCTCAGCAACTTACGGAGGACCTATAACTTAGCAACTCAAAATAATAAAAAAATACAAAGGGCCGGGAAGTTGCTCAGTGGTTAAGTACGCCAGGGTTTAATCCCTAGTACCAACATCATCATCAACAACAAAAATCCTCACAAAATGAATTTTTAAAATGTGTGCATGCCTGTAATCCCAGTGGCTCGGGAGGCTGAGGCAAGAGGATCGCAAGTTCATAGCCAGACTCAGCAATGCCGAGGTGCTAAACAACTCGATGAAACTCTGCCTCTAAATAAAATACAAAACAGAGATGGGGATGTGGCTCAATGGTCTAGTGCCCCTGAGTTCAATCCGTGGTACCCCCTCCCCACAAAAGTGCGCATATAAATACACTGACTCTACAGGTAGCAAACACTTGGCCTCAACAAATTGGAAATGTACCAGACTGATGGAGGCCCAGATGTCAGGCTCTGGACCTACATGACCAGTACGGGTCCACTACCCACGCATGGCTACTTGAATTTTAACTAGAATAAAACCCTGCTACGAGTTCAGTCCATCACCCACAGCCGCCTCATCTCAGGGCTCAACTGCCACATGTGACCAATGGCTACTGCATCTGTCAGTGCAGCCTCATTTTGCAAAGCGCAACTGGACAGTCCTGCTGCAGAAACCACGAGGAGGGACAGAGACTCTGTTACTCCTCCCTCGGGAGAGCTGTGTGCAGGGCGTACCTGGCTCTTCTTCTCCTTCTGCTCCAAGATTTTCTGCAGCACTTTCCTTTCCTTCTTGGTCAAAGGCTTCTTCTCCTTCCTGGACAAGGGAGGGGCCTTGGTCGTCTTCTTCTTTCTCCCGGGCAGCACAAGGGCATTGCTGGCGTCCACTCCTTTCAGTGTGTCCTTGTCTGAAAAGACACGCCTGCCTGACCCACAGTCGGGGACGCCAGAGTGCAGGAGCTATTCATGTCCTGTCCTCCTGCAAGGGGCTCAGTCCCCACCTCCGTGACTCATTCTCTTACCACTTTAAGCAAATGTCATTTATACACTATCAATCCCCACCTTGATTATCTCCACTTGAACTTGGCTTTTGAGCATCCAGTCAACAGCTGCCTAGCTTCCCTGCTCAGACATCTCACAGGCCCCAAAGTACTCCTTCATCACCAAAGCTGGGCCCTTGGTGCTCCCCCTAAGCCCACCTCTTTCCACTGCTGCCACTTTTCTGGTCCAAGCATCATCTCTAGCCTGCTAGTCCTTCCCCTGGTCTTGCCTTCTACTGCTTTTTCTCAACACAGAAGCTAAAGTGAGGCTGTCAACATATAAGTCCAATGTTCTGTGCCTCTTGCGCTCCAAACCTTCTGGGGCTCCCCTCTCAAAAGTCCCCTTTGTCACCATTATCCCCTGGCCCCCAATTTTTTCTCCTCTCTCCACTTAGGCTCCCTGACCCTCTTGGATCTCAACTCCCCTAACACTTTCTCAGCAGCGCCTTCCCCAGCGGCCCACCCAGTCAATTCTGCTTCATCTCCTTAGTACATAACATCCCATGCATGTACCTTAGGTTCACCTTTGCCTGTCTCCGCCCACAAGCACGCAAGCCCAGGGCAGAAGGGATTTTTATCTCCCTTATGTCTGAGTGCCCAGAATAGTGTCCACACATAACAGACTCCCAGCAACACAGAGTCTAAAATGTCAATCAGCCTGATGCTGAGTGGACAAGCCGGGGCTGAAAACAAGTGTGAAGGTCTCTGGCAAGAAGATCAGCATCCAAGTCACGGGAATGGCTGCGACCACCTCGTTTCTTGCCCAAATGCTCCAGATTACCAAGAAGCCCCAAGAACTATCCCCACTCACTGTATACACTAGGCTGTCATTGCCACTCCTCTGGATGCTGTGGAATGGGGCTCCTCTCCGGCAGCCCCGCCCAGACCGGTGGGAAGGCAAGGCACTAGGTCCGGGCCCAGCCCCACCGGCCCGGCCCGCCCCGCCCCAGCGGCGAAGGCTGCGCGGCCTCCCGCCCCCCAGCAGCCCGCTCTCCGCGCCTCACCCTCCAGCTCCAGCCGCACCGCGGGCGGCGCAGGCGGCCCCTTCGAGGGGTCGGGGCCCGCCTGCAGGCGCCCCTTGAGGTTGTAACGCCGGCGCAGCTTGCCCATGGCGCCTCTCTCCTGCCGGACCAGCGGCGCGACCCCCAGCCCAGCCCACGTGGGTGCCGGGCCACCGACAGCCACGAGAGTTCCGGGTTTTGCTGTCGCGAGATCTGAGACAGACTGAGTCGCGGAGGGGCGGAGCTGGAGGCGGGACCCAAGGGGAAGCGGGGCCGCGTCTGCGGAGGAGCGGGACCATCAGGTACAAGGGGCGGGGCCATCCCTTGGAAGGGGCGGGGCCTGAAGTCTGAGCGAGGCGGAAGGCCAGAGTTTGATCCCTGGAAGAGACGCAGGTGCAGGCTGAGTCTAGAGGGCTGAATTTCTACTGATTTGGCTGTTGGAGTGGGAGTCTTTTTTTTCTGGCACTGGGAGCATTAAACCTAGGGTTGCTTTACTTCTGAACTATGTTCCCAGCGCTCCTCCTCTTTTTTTTTTTTTTTTTTTTGAGGCAGGTTCTCGCTAAATTACTTGGGGTCTTGTTAAATGGCTGAGGCTGCCCTGGAACTTGCAAAGTCGTTAGCATTACAGGGTGTGCGCCAATGTGCCCGCCTGGAGTGGGAGTCTTTATTATCTTTTACTTAAACTTTTTTTTTTTATGCGTGTTTGTTTTTGTGGTGTTGGTGACTGAACCCAGGGCACTCTGCCACCGACCAACCTACTCAGCACTGCTTAACCTTTCAAATACAACCTTGCCCCCAATACAAACTTGCTCATCTGCATTTTCTGACATTCCTACAAGTATTGTGCATTAATTGCCCAGAAAAAAGCACCAAATATTTCCATCACAGAGACAGACATAAAAGAAATAATCTGTTATTTTGATAATTCTCATTACTTCCAAGTGGCAGGTGGTGGCACACATCTATAATCTGGGAAGCTGAGCCAGAGGATATTTCTATGTGTGTGTGATACTGGGGGTTGAACCCAGGGCCTTAGGCTTAGGAGGCAAGCACTCAACCAACTGAAATGTATCTCCAGCCCTGAGGCAGGAGGATTTTAAGTTGGAGACCAACCTGGGCAATTTGGCCTAGACCCTATCTCAAAAAAAAAAAAAAAAAAAAAAAAAGGGCTGGGGATATAGCTCAAATAATATAAACAAATAAATAATAAAACTGTCATTACTGCTTCCTGTCACATTTCCTGAGCCCTATGATGGTCTCACAAATAGAACGGTTACATTTTACCACATTTATCTCTTTTTTTTTTTTTAAAGAGAGAGAGAGAGAATTTTTAATATTTATTTTTTAGTTCTCGGCGGACACAACATCTTTGTTGGTATGTGGTGCTGAGGATCGAACCTGGGCCGCACGCATGCCAGGCGAGCACGCTACTGCTTGAGCCACATCCCCAGCCCTACACATTTATCTCTTAAAAGTATTACTTTGTTAAAGGCAAATATTTAAATTGTATCACACATGGGCTCGGGATGTGGTTCAAGCGGTAGTGCACTCGCCTGGCATGCGTGCTGCCCGGTTCGAGCCCCAGCACCACATACCAACAATGTCCGCCGAGAACTAAAAAATAAATATTCAAAATTCTCTCTCAAAAAAAAAAAAAATTGTATCACACAAAAAAGATAACGCTAAGTTTTATCACAAAAAGGAGACTTGGAAACTATTTTGCAATTTTAGAAAGAATAAAATTATTTTTGAAAATTTCCCCCTGGGTAGAGTGGTTGTCTAGCACACACAAGGTCCTGGGTTCCGTCCCCAGCACCCTAGAATACCAGATCAAACAAAAATACAAGAGCTGGGAGGAGCTGGGAGAGCAAGGAGAGAGGATGGGTAATGGGTACAGAAGGGCAATTAGATAGGAGCAGTAATATCTAATGATCTACAGCGCAGTTGGGCAACTGTGTTTGATAACTGTGGTTTAACTGTATATTTCAAAATAGCTGCAAGAGAGGATTTTGAATGTTCCCAGAGAAAGAAATGATAAATGTTTGAGATGATGGATACACCAATGGCCCTGTGCTGATCATCACACATTGTATATACTGTGTTGAAATATCACGGTGTACTCCATAAATATGTATACATATTTTTTTGTGTGTGTGGGGGGTGGGTACTGGGGATTGAAACCAGGAGTTACGCCCCCAGCTCCCAAAGGAAAAGAACAGAAAGTGTTGTGGGTAAAATGCAGTGGTAGATCCATATGCTTACTAGCAGAGGCAGACCCTGGATTCCATCCCCAGCACCCTCCAAAATATATATATGAATTTGAAGGAATTTTTAGCACTGAGCTGGGGTTGTATAGCACTCGTCTGGCATGTGTGAGGCATTGGATTTGATCCTCAGCACTACATAAAAATAAATAAATAAAATAAAGGTATTGTATCCATCTACAACTAAAAAAAAAATCTAAAAAAAAGGACTTTGGGACTGGGGTTGGTGCTCAGTGGTAGAGCACTCACCTGCATGTGTGGGGCCCTGGATTCGATCCCCAGCACCACACAAAACTAAATAAATAAAATAAAGGTATTGTGTCCAATTACAACTAAACATATATACATATGTACATATATAGACTTTCAGCCCATCAAACCTGCATTTTCACGGACTTTTGCTTGGGATGATAATGGTTTAATTTTTTTTGTGCAAGGCTGGGACTGTAGCTTAATGGTGGAGCGCTTGCCTAGCAAGTGTGAGGCATTTGATCCCTTGGCACCACACAAAAATATAAACAAATAAAATAAAGGTATCGTGTCCATCTACAACTAAAAAACTAAAAAAATAAAGGCATGCTGTCCATTTACAACTATAAAAAAAAAAAGTTTCTTTGGGCTAGAATACTTGCCTAGCATATGTGAGGCCTTGGGTTCTGTCCCCAGCACAAGAGGGAAAAGTAGGTAGTAGTACACTCTGTTTTATTTTCTTCCATTATATTGTATAAACTTAATTATCTTTTGCACTGCTGGGGATTGAATCCAGGGCCTGGCACATGCTCAGCCCGTTCTCTACCCACTGAGCTGCATCCTCAACCTCCATAATATTATATAAAGGATTAGCTTCCAGAAGGTATACAGAACATCCTAGAACTCAAGAAGAAAAAAACCCACACCACAACATGGTTGGATCTCATGAAGCTGAATGAGGGAGGCCAACCACCAAAGTCATACTGTGTGACCTATTTACATAAAGTTCAAATGCAGGCAAGATGACACCCCTAAAATTCAGGAGGGACATTGTGAAGGGGAGGGACAAAGGGAGGCTTTCTGGGGAGCTAGTGATGTTCATGTTTTATTTATTTTTAATTTTTTTTTTTTTTTTTTTTTTTTTTACTGGGAATCGGAACCAGTATTGATGGATATGCTGGATGTGGTGGATATGCTGGATATAGATATGCAGTATATGCTCAATCACTGAGTGAAATCCCACCCCCCACCCCTTTTTCAAATTTCATTTTTAGATAGGGTCTAGCCCTACGTTGGTGAGGCTGACCTCTGACTTGCATTTCTCCTGTCTTGGCCTCCAGAGCCTCTGGGATTACAGCATGAGAGGGGCTCCGATTGACTGGAGTTTTTATACCATGGAACAAGGCCTCSAGGTGGGAGGTCCATGGTGACTAGCTATGGGAGGACCAGGGAGGGGAAAGCTGTGAACTATGGCCTGTATTGCCATGCAGAGAAAGTTATCTCAGGAGGAAGAGGCAGAATAGGGCTAGTCTGTGGCAAAGTCCATCAGGAGGACTCCTGGAATTGGACAAGTGAGTCCCTTCCTGAGTTGGGCTCTGAAGCAGCCAGCCCCTCCCTGCCTTGCCTTTGCTCTTATCCCAAGTTTTCCTGATCCGAGTGATCAGTAAAGTCAAGTGGCTTATTTTGCCATAATATTTCCTGGACTTCTTCAAATGCACACAAAATCCTCCCGGTGTGTTTCATTGACATGGCTCTTAAGCCTCTAACACCAATCATCCCACCATCCCGCAAACTTCCATCCCATTTATGTATAGCGGAAGCTGGATGGTTGCCTGTGGAGGGTTCCCCTTTCTGTGTTCTTCTGCTTTCCCTCCATCCCCCTGTAAGGGTCTGGGGAACGTAGGAGGAAGAGACCACCAAGAGACTCATGCAAACGCAGAAGGGAGTTTATTGATCCAGCGTGCTGGGGCTCTGTGCTCACTCAAGAAGGGAGAGCAGCCCAGAGCCTAGAGCAGGGGTTGAGCAGTGCTTAAGTACGCTTTTTGGGGAGGGCGGGGACTTTACATATATCACAGTCTCCTTTAACAAATCACCATACACCGCGGGAAAATCATACAACAATTCTTAGACTTGATTAGTACATTCATTGGCTGGAACAGGTCGGGCTGGAGTGATAGGTCATTCCTAAGGAGGGGGTTACATTCAAACTGATTGGTTYGGGCCCTGAATGCCTACATGCCAAGCTGCACAGGGTCCTAGGCTATTAATCAACTAAATGGTCAGTGGGGCATTGTCTTAACTGCCTCAGGAATTTCAGGTTCTGTGTGCAGTTCAGAAACTTTACAATACCTAGTYCTTTACATTTCAACTCAGGCTTTGCAGCTTAGAAGCAGCTTTACAATGCCTGGTCCTTTACATTTTAACTCAGGCTTTGCAGCTTAGAAACTTTACCCTTTCACCCCTAGTTCCTATAAACTCAGTCCCTAGAGGCCTCTAGGTCCTGGTTCAGCACGTCTTAGAGTGGATCCTAGTTGGCGCTGGTGCTTCCTGACCCCAGGGCCGAACCAAGTCTTGACCTGACCCCTCCTTTCCAGGCCCCTCCAACCTTCACCTCTTGGGTTGAGTCTCTTCTGATGATGCTCATGGTCAGAACCCATTATTTCAAATGAAGGGGTGCTAAGAGATTCTCCAGTTCTCACACTTCCTCCTCGTGTATGGGTTGCACCTTTCTTTTTCTTTTTCTTTTTTTTTTTTTTGTAGCATTAGGACCAAGGATTTATTCCATAATATAAACTGCAACATTTGATACAAGCTACCAAAAAATAGGGGAGGGAGGAAGGGGCAGGGAGAAAGCCAAAATACAGCTGTGGCAATTACTTACAGAGCAGTCTCCTTTCTACATCACTAGTTCATCAGTAACACTAGAAACTAGACATTTGCTTTCTGTACATCAACCAAATGCTAAAGCACCAACACGCTGTTCAGGAGTTTGTTTTGTTTTAATTCCGGCCACTGAAACCAACATAGAAGTTATTGCTCAGATAAATAAACCTAGTCTACCAGAAAAAAAGAAAAGTGGATAAAGAAAGGAAGAAGCAAACAAAAATCTCCAAAGTGGAAAAACTTAAAATCCCCAATGTGGTAACAGAGTAAACAAGAGAGGGATTCCTCAAATGAGGATTTACTGGAATTTCTGGTGCCCCTCTGGGCACTGAAACTGAGTTGGGTCTTAATCCGGTAAATCCCAGATAGAGGTACTGAAGCCAGATTTAAAATTAGGTAGTCAGTGTAGTTAGGAAAATCGGGCCTAATATCGAGTGAAATCTAAAATGGAGGCCATGCTGAGAATGATTCTGGAAACGCAGGACAACTCATGGAATGTTAATGAAGTCCTGAGAAAAGCCCTAGGCCCAAAGTCCGTCCCAAAGGAATGTTAATGGAGCCCAGGAAACAGCCCCCAACAGATTTGGAGATAGCCCATCCCAAAGAAGTGTTAATGAAGTCCTTCCTGCCCAGATTACTTCTTTGGCCCACCTGTGTCCCACCCCTTGGGCCTTCCAACCTACATTCCATCACTGAAAGAACTATAAAATGGAGAGACAACCGCACTTCCAAGGATTCACCTCTTGGGTCCCCTTCTTCCTCCGGGAGAAGTCTTTTCTGCTGTCCTTTAATAAACTTCTAATTTCTACTCTGACCTTGCCTTGGCGTGCTTCTCTGATGTTATTCTTCAACATTGGGGAAGCAAGGACTCGTCACCGGTCAACAGCGGTAACAGTACAATTTCAATGCTGTACTGAAAAGGTGCAAGCTTCAAGGCCTTCCAAATTGGTGGAAACCCTTGCAAAAAACAGTCAGCATTTCAAACCTCAACAACCTCAAACAGCTCATAAGGAAAAAAAAATACAAAAGGTGTTAAAAATTTTTTTAGTTGTTTTTTCTTTTTTTCAAACAGTTCTGGAAAAATGGTCCCATGAGGAATAGAAATAGCACCATGTACAGACTGGCTTGAACACCACTCCTGAAGCTTTGCTGAGATTTGAGGAAATCTTCTTGATTGGAGTCCTGAATTACATTAAGTGGAGGTGTTTGTTTTGTTTTTACTTTCTGCTTGGTGCKTCCTTCCCAGTATAGCGATGTAGTCTGTTGGGCTGCACATCTGTGTGCTGCACTTTTCTATAGAGAACCTTCCCTTCTCCACTATTTTGTGACTCTGAATGCAGTTCATCCCATAAGGGCAGGAGGATTGAATGAACTGATGCTCCCAGGGGTCAGTGTTTGGGTACCATGATAGAAAACGCAGGGAGAGGGGTGGGGTTGTGGCTCAGTGGTAGAGCGCTTGCCTAGCACTTGTGAGACACTGGGTTCAATCCTCAGCACCACATATAAGTAAATAAAAAATAAACAAAAATAAGTAAATAAAAAAAGAAAAATAATTTTAAAAATTTAAAAAATACAGGGAGACATATACATATGTTGTTCGTGTTCACCAATGAATCGGAGCCGTTACATTATTGGGCTGTCGCAAGTTTTGCAGACATGGGTTGCTTTTTGCAGTAAAGTTAGAAACACATTTTTTTTCCCTCCCAAAGACTAGGAAGGGCCCTGCAGACGGCGCAGGCCCCTCTAGGACGCAGGGCGGGGCTTCAGGGTGGGCGGGGCCCCATGGTGGGCGGGGCCGGGCCTGCGTGGGGCGGGGCAGGTGCACGGCTGCGGCGGTGGCGGCGGCAGAGGCGCGGTGCGCGCGCCAACGCGGTCCCGGCCGAAGCCCGCGGCCACCTCACCCTGCTGCGCGACCCGCACTCGCTGGACGAGCATGGGTTCGTGCGCCTCGGGCGGGCCCCGGGCCCGGGCCGGGCTCCTGCTGCTGCTGCTGCTGCTCGGGCTGCTGGCCCCGGGCGCGCGGGGGGCGCGGGGCCGCGGCGGCGCCGAGAAGAACAGCTACCGCCGCACGGTCAACACCTTCTCGCAGAGCGTCAGCAGCCTGTTTGGCGAGGACAACGTGCGCGCGGCTCAGAAGGTGGGCGCCGGGGCCGCGCCCGCGGTCACCTTGCCGGGCGGCCGCGCACCTGGCGCCCAGGGCCGGCCTGGGCCGAGCGGCCTCGGTGGCCTGCGGGCCGGGCCCGGGAGGGCAAGGCGGGCGGTCTCCGGCCCGCAGCGCGCGGGGCCGGAGCCGGGGCCGGGGTCGGGCCTCGGGCCTCCCCGCGCCCGCCCTACGCGCCGCGCGGCTCTGTGGACCTGGCCAAGGCAGCGCGGCGGGCCTCGCGGGGCTGCGCTGACGCCGCCTGCGCGCGCCCATTCATTCTCCGCGTTTGAATGGGCCCCTGTGAGCCAGGTGCCGCCGCCGCGCCCCGCGGAGCTGCAGCTACCGGGGCAGAGGGAGGGAGCCGCGCGGCCGCACCTGCGGGCTGCGGGCCCTTCCTCGGGCCCCGGGTTTGCTTTGGAGCTGACCGGGGCCTGGGTGCCAAGGGGGCGCCCGCGCGGCCCTCGGGCTGGGTGGGACAAATGCCCCATCTAGGCCGGAGCTTGCCGGCGAGGAGAAGTCGATGGGAACAGCTGCGGGTGGACGATGCCTTTGCTCGTGGCCAGCCCCTGAGTTCAGGAGTAGGGAGAAGTTTGGATTCAAGCTGGTGTTAAGTGGCTTCACTTTTATTTTTTATTGTACCGGGAATGAAATCAAGGGGTGCTCTATCAGCGAGCTACATACATCCCGAGCCCTTCAGCATTTTCAGACATTTTTAGATAGGGTCTAAGTTGCCCAGGCTAGCCTTGGACTTGGGATCCTCCCGAGTAGCTTGGAGCCCTGCTGTGGCTTCARTTCCTTGAGCCTCCGTTTCTTTACCTGTTAAATGGGGAGAGCAGTGACACCCCTTCATTAAGAGGTTGTGATTATGAACAGCTGGTACTTTGCTGGCCCAGAATTGCCCCTAAGCTGATATCAGCTCTTGGCATTTCCTCCTCAGGGCGCAAATCAACATTTTTTTTTGTAGCCCTGCTGGAGAAACTTCATGGCTTAAAAAAGAAAACAAAGTTGGTCCTTTAGATGGAGTGGAAGCCCAACAGGCTCACCATTCTTATTCCTTGAAATTAAAGGTTAGTTTATGAGGAAGACCAGCAGCTGCTCTCCTTGTCATCTGGGTGTGTGGACGCCTTTTGCAGAGATTGTGGCCCAGTGACTCCCTACTGTAGGACCAGCCATTGGGGGAGAGAACTCTAGGTGTCCAGTAGAGAGGAAGAGGTGTGGCTGAACACCCCAGTGCAAACCTGGGCAGGAGTGTGGCTCAGCCATTTTGAAGACAGCAGCCATTTGTGTTAGGTCAAAAAGAAGTCTGCCTTTTGTGCAGGGTAACCCCAGGGAACCCCATGTCTCACCTGACACTTTTATGAAGACTCTTAAGGTCAGCTTGAAATCCAGAATATTGAAGAGTTTCTGCCTGTGGGGTATCAATAAAACTAGTTTATTTGGACTGAGAATCTGGTGGTTGGAGCTTCTGGGGTAACCAGGGTTTTATCTTCATTAGAGATGATGAGCATACTAACAAAGTCTGTTAAAGACTTTGAAAATATGCTTAAAAGTTGCCAAGTACCTTTTTTGTTTTGTTTTAATGTACCAGCAATTCAGGGACATTTAACCACTGAGCTACATCCCTGGCCGTTTTTATTTTGTATTTTGAGACAGTGTCTTACTAAGTTGGTGAGGTTGGTCTTTAACTTGTGAACCTCATGTCTCAGCCTCTGTAGTTGCTGTTGGAATTACAGGTGTGCACTTTGGTGCCTGACAATTGCCAAATGCTTTCAAGTCCTTATTTTTGATGCTGGAGATTGAACCCAGGCCCTTGTTAAGCACATGCTCCACCACTGAGCTGTATCTCATTTAATTCTTGAACACAGCTCAATGAGTGAGGTTCTCTTTTCATTTCACAGACGGGAAATGGGCATGGCAGAGCTGGGACTTGGACCCAGAAAAAAGTGGGCATGAAGCCCATCTACCCTCCCCACTCCCACCTTCTCCTGTCCTGACCCTTCCCTGTCCCCCTGTGTGTGCCACCTCAACAGGTAGCTGACCTGACTTATTCTGCACATGTGTATAGCCCAGACCAGCCAGGTGCTGGAGAGATTGTTTTGTTAATTTTAATGAAAGCAAAACTGGGTCCGCTAGCAGCTGTAGTTTTCAGGGTGCCTGGGCATACTATTTAGAACCAGACCTGCCTTGTGGGTTGTGAAGTTGGAGGCTGTTTAGAGAAACACCGCACATTCTAATCTAGGACTAGTCTGAAATAAACCCACCCCCGTTGGCATCATGGGCCTTGCTATTCAACAGGCCTGGGTTTGGATGTCAGCCTCTGCCTCTTGCCAGCTCTGTGACCTTAGACCAGTTGCTTTACCTGTTTCTCATTTGTGCAGAGGAGGTAAATTGGAATGTTGAAAGTGACAGGTTAGGTTGTCACAGTACCTGGCACTGGATAATTGCTAGATCAATGGGAGGGAATATTTGCATATGAAAAGGATTTGTCTGGTAGGAGGTGGTGCGTGCTGCAGTAGGTGGAAGTTTGAGTAGATGGATGTTCCTTCATTCTTTCAAAAATGATTAAGGGCTGGGGGTGTAACCCCATGTTAGAGCAAATACCATACACAGGGTGCAATCCCCAGCACCCAAGTACGTAAGTAAATAAATGACAATTATCAAAACCCAGTGTGTGTAACACTTTTCATAATAACCAGAAAGTGGAAATATCCCAAATATCTCTCTGCTGAGTTGGGGTGGACAGAACGTGGCGTGGCCATGTAGCGGGATGTGGCTCCGCCATAGGAAGGGATGGAGGGGCCTCGGAAGCAGTCACAGAAGCCAGAGGGACAAGCAGGGCCCCTGATACTATTCATATGAACCATTCAGAACAGGAAGCTCCAGAGAGACAAAGGTGACTAGTCATTGCAGGGGTCTGGGGTAGGGGACTGGGGTCACCTCTGGTGATGAAAGTTGGGAATAGATAGTGGTGGCCTCTGCCACATACTGGGTATGCTTAGTGCCTCTGAATTGTACATGTTAAAATGAACCATGTGGCCAGGGGATGGAGGCCTGTGAGACCCTTTCTCAAAATAAAGTAATATATAAAAAGAGGGCTGGGGCTGGGGCTTAGTGGTGGAGCGCTTGTCTGGCATGTGTGAGGTGCTGGGTTCGAGCCTCTGCACTGCATAAAAATAAATAAAAATACAAGTGTTGTGTCCATCTACAACTATAAATAAATAGAGGGGGCTAGGCTTGTAGCTCAGTGTTAGAGAGCCGTGCATTCCTTCCCTAGAAGCAAAAGAAAAAAAAAGCTTAAAATGGTGAATTTATAGTTAGATGTATGATCTTACAGTTGGTATATTATTTTATAGTTAGACATATTATTTTTCAGTTAGATGTATTTTACTGCAGTTTTGAAAAGCACAGCATTTACCTGTGCAGAGCACAAGCCAGACCAAATAATCCTTCTTGGGGGACTTTTGTCGGGTGGCAGCCACGAGGAAGTAAAATGGCTGTTGTGGTATTGAGGGTGACCTTTGCTTAGGCTCAGCATGCCTGACGCTGCCCTGAGAGAGGATCTGTTGTTTCTGTCACAGATGAGGAGGCTGCGGCCTAAGAGGGTGACTCTGTTGCCCACAGTCCAGCGGAGTCGTGTTGGCACCCTGGCAGTGGCCAGCTCACGACCCCTGAAGAATTGAAAGTAACTGAAATGGGGCTGGCCCTGAATGAGAAGGAGCAGGCAGGGGAAGAGCGTCCCCGGCAGAGCCCAGGCTCTGCTGCAGAACAGGCTTGGCGTGGGCAGGGCAGGGTGACCAAGGAGAGCCAGCCCGGTCCTGCAGGTCCCGGGTCAGATGAACTAGACTCCCTGGTACCTGAAAGGTGTTCAAGAGCCTGAGGAATGAGCCCAGGGAAGGTGGTGGGGGTGTAGGTGTCCCGCTGGCAGGTTGGGAGGAAGGAGCACAGGTTCTGTGTGGGTAGATGCCTGGGCAGGGCAGGGCTGGGCTGGGATGGGATGGGATGGGATGGGATGGGACATGGGCAAGGCTCAAAGGTGGTTCAGTGTGCAGTCTGTCTGGATCTCTGGAGCACAGGCGGAGAGCCTACCTCGACTGATGGGGGGAGCTTTCTGCAAGCCGACCTGAGAAACTGCTTTCTTCCCCCGGCTCCTTGGCCATAGTTGCATGGAGTATAATTTCAAATAATTGAGGATTTTTAAAATGTGCCTCCCGCCCTCACCCCCTCTCCTGCCTGCTTTCCCAGGGGCCGTCAGAGGCTAGGTAGGACCCATCCTTCCTGTCACTGAGTTTTGTTGGTGGCGCTGTGAATGCTGCTTTCCATGTTTTGTTTAATACAAACCTTTGAAGACCAGACCTCGTCAGCACAGAAAGCTTAGCTCTGTTCTCTTTGAAGAACTGTAGATACCAAGTCATTTTGAAGATGTGCCATGATTGAACCCACCCTAGTGGGACGCTCCAGAGGGACCCCAGTGAGGGTCTGTCTCTACTTGCTCTCCTGCGGGCATAAAGGCAAGGTCATTGGTAAACTGGTAGAAATGGGACTGTCGAATCAAAGGCTCTGTGCATTTTTTTAAACTTTGAATTAAAATATAAGGGGCTGGGACCAGGCCTCCGTGCTATGTAGAGCGCTTGCCTGGCATTTGTGAGGCACTGGGTTCAATTCTCAGCATCGCATATAAATAAATGAATAAAATAAAGACCCATCAACAACTAAAAAAATATATAATTGGTTGTTCCATCCCCTGGAAGTCCCTTGGAGCTCCTCCAAGGTCACCACTGTCCCAAGTTGGTTTTACCTGCTCCTGTCCTTCAAGGGCAGTCCCAACCCACTTTTGTTTTCAGCATGGAGAGAGGTGACTTAAGTTGTCCTCTAAACACACAGGGACTCCTTCCAGGCCTCCTCAGTGAACTGTGTCATTAAACTTGAGTTTTGTCGTGCCCGGGAGAGACGGCCTGGCCCTCATAGGCCCTTGTTGCTTTTTCTCCTGTGTCTTC